TCTACATGATGCAGCAGCACCTTTGTTGACCTTCTTGCTCCTTCATTTCGAGTGCTCGCTTCAGCTCTTGCACTTCTCGTTGCAATCTGATTTTCTCTTGATCCAAAAAGTTGTAATTACCTTCTAACTTTTTAATTTGTGCCTCCATTTCTTCCATGTGCTTCTTTGCATATTTGAGCTCTTCACATTTCACTTCGTAGTGGAATTTCAACTCTTCATATTTCAGTTGTGACATGCTGTGATCATCTTCAAGAGTCGACAACAATGTCCATGCTTGAGCACTTTTTCTTTTTTCCTCTTTCAAGAGCTGTTCATTTAACTCCAATACTTGACTTGTCCTCTTTAAATTATTGGCCATGGTCAATAGTTTACTCTCGAGAGCACTTGATCGAGGTGTAGCAATGGATGGAGGTTTTGAAAAATCATGTTGTTGAGGTTTAAAGGTAGGCGAAGGAGGGGACATTAATTGTTGTTGCTCCTTAATTCGGCTTTGCAAGTATTCTTGTAAATTGTGAAATTCTCGTGCCACTGAATGTCTCTTTAAGTTTCTCTGTATTTGAACTTTGGATGGGGAGTTGTTTCCAGAATTGAAGACGTTCGGCCGAGTGGTGGTATTTGTGGATGTGGAGGAGGGGATTGAAGATGTCACAACATTTCCATTCTGCTCCGGTGTCGTCGAAGTTGTTTGTTGTGTGCCACACCCCTTATTTTGAGAAAGCAATAATTTTGCAATTTGTTTGCTCTTTGTTTCACCTCCAAATTCTGCATTGCTGCTTGCCACAATATATTGCAACTCACTTCTACTTTCTCTTGAGGTGTGAGGTCTTTTATATTTTCGAATCACACTAGTTGTTGACGAAGAATTGTTGATTGGATGAATTTTCTGATGTGAAGTTCCATTATTGGAATTGTCGACTTTTGGCGTCAATGTGGAATTTGTCATGATGGAAGTTGAAGAGGCATCTGTGGAATGATTTTTCGAAAGTACTGAGGAGGCCTCTGTTACTGAATCTCTATCTGACAATGACGAGGTGTCTTCATTGGTGCTTCCACTGCTGGTGTAATCATCATCTTTGAAATTTTCAACCTTTCCTAGATTGAGTTTTGGTATGGCAGCTATTTGGAGAGGTGGCTTAATTTTTTGTGACTGAGCAGATTCACTTAAATCAACAACTGAATCGTATGAATTTTTCGTAGTGAGTTGATGTTGAGATGAAAGTGTGGCACTATTATTGACATTTGACATAATTGCCACTTCTGGATGTCCTAAAGCAACACTTGTTGGTTTTTTAATTTTCAATTGCAAACTTCTTCTTCGTTCCATCTTCTTCGTATCCACAGGTGACACTTCGTGTCCTCTTGGTGATATATCTGACATGGTTATTTGTCCAATTCGATTTTTCAATGGATTTTCTGTTTCAAAATAAGGCAATGCAAAACATTCCTCGGATTCCATGAGTTGTTCCTCATGTTGTTGTTGTATTGGATTGTTGATCATTGATGACGACAAAGCATGGTTCATGTTATTATTATTATTTAAATTCTTTTTCAACATGAGTCGAGAAGGAATGTGTTTCGTTCGGGAATATTCATCATTATCATCACCGCTGCTGTAGGTATCCATTTGAGAGGCCATCGGAACGGCTATTGTGTTGTTGTTGTTGGAGGATGAAGATGCCATGATGAAATATAGTGGTGGTGGAATGTCAAACGACAAAGCTCTTTTTTTTTGATAAATGACAGATGATACTTTTGCTAAAATTGAGCGCCAACAACAACAACTCTTTTCCCGATCGTTTCCTAATGTGGTTTCATTCAACAAGGAAGGATGCATCTCCTTGTTGTTGTTGTTCAGCAATGAAATCTCTCGAGAGACGAGTTTTTTATTTCCATTTATTCTTAAATATTAAGGTTTGAAGAAATCCATATCTTTCGAGAATTTGGTTGTTTTACATGAGGCTTCATGAAGCAACAGATATGTAACTTGAATAAGAGTAATATTCATTGAATGATATCATTATACTTTTGTATTCAAAAACAAAAACCAAATGTCACCTCCAAGACCAGTGCGGGGCCAAGATCCACCCCGAAACAACCCAAAAAACTTCGTTCAAATATATCTACACTCAATAAGACCACCAAAAATTACTAACCTGGAATTTCAGGTCAAAAGTTTGAGCAACTACTTCCATAACAACTAACAACATGTTTTAAAAGAAAACCACTAGTAGCTTCTTGTTCAAAAAGAAAATAATTTATAATCCAATAAATTTAACTAGAACGCTGCGGTATATCAGTGTGAGCATCTTCTTCTTCATAGTTAAAAGAGGCATTGAAACTTGTGTCAATTTCTTCTTCTTTGAGGGCAGGCTCATGAGACTGAGGTTGTGAAGAAGTTTCTCCGTTCGATTGTTGGGTGGGCTCTTGCTTTGTGGTTTTTTCGTTATTCTCTTGATGGTTAAGAACGGGTATTGGAGAAACATTGGTACCATTTTCCTTCTCCAAATTTTTCTGTGACTCTGATTCTTGGTTATTGTGTCCTTGATCATCTTTAGGTTTGATCTGTGTTTCAACCGCTCCTTCATTAGTTTCAAATTGGTCCTCGTCATGTAACACTTCGAATTCCTGTTCTTGAAATGAATTATCCTCTTCGTCGCTAAAACCTTCATTTTCTTCAACAACTTCCACACCTTTAATGTTATCCTTAGATCTGTTGAGTGGAACATAGACGCCTTGGTTGACTGGTTGAATATTTCCTGTTTTGTCAGCCATCCATTTTCTGCTCTTTGTCCATTCCTGCTCCCATTGAAGATGATTATATACAGGTTGTCTATTCTGGATTCGTTTCAAAATTGCAGAATTTTCCTCGGTGATCTTTTTCGCTTCTCTCCTTCTAAGGTCGCTATTTAGACTTCCAATAAACTTGTAATTTTGATTCTTGTTGTCTAAATAGTGCTTTCCCATTATTTCAGTCATTTTATCGACAAGGATTCGATTGTCCTTTCCGATCTGATCGCCTCTTTCTATATTGTTCCGCAACATGATTGTATTCGCCAAATGTAAATGTAAAGCAGATCTTACCTTTTTGCAATTGTTTCTTCTTTGCATTAGTTCTTAAATGTGGATAGTCCTTCGGTGGTGTATTATCGATGGATGGCTTGATGGAAGCAAGCGCATCCCGATGCTTCTTATAATTTCTCTCTCGGACCTTCCTCGTACAGAGATAATTCTGCTGTGGTTCTGCTCGAAACATTGGCGATGATGATAATGACAATGCGTTGAATTATAGTACAAGAACGATTTTGAAAATTAATTCAAAAGAGAGAGAGAGGAACCGTCGCTACGATTGAATTTTTTTGAATTTTTTCTGTAAATTTATTTTTGAGATGAATTCGTTAAAAACAGTACTCTGAAAAGGCGCCAAGTCATGAATGTACGTCTTGATCAATCACATGAATCTCCACGCTGAAGATTTTTGACCATTATCTTGACCATCTCTGTCATTTCTCAAAATCAAAACTTGTTGTTGTTGAACCAGAAAGAAGGTGAATTCTTACGTTGTTGACAGAGCAAATTGTTCTTATATAAATGACAGACATCTTGCAGTGAGAGATGACTCAGATGAACGATCGTTTGACGGAAAGACAGTCCATACTTTCAATGATTGGAACATTTCTTTGCCGGGAACACAGCTCAATTTCAATTAAGGCACATATAATTATTATTATTAATTAATAAAATAATTATTATTTTGAAAGAGTTTCATCAAGCAAAAAAATGGCAAAAAGCAAATCATCATCATCTGCTTCAGGCAAGCAAGCCTCGGGATCATCATCGTCTTCGCCATCATCAACCACCATCATGTCTCCAGAAATGATCATGAGACCCACTCCGAATGTTTCTCTCTCCGATAGTATTGCGGAGGAATTTAAATTACCACTCAAAGCAGCTAATTACATGTTCTTTTGTTTCTTGTTGAGTAATTTATTGGCTGCGTTTTTAATGCCGATCAGTGATTGTGATGAAACATTTAATTATTGGGAACCTACACATTTGATTCTGTATGGAAAGGGTTTGCAAACTTGGGAATACAGTCCAGTATTTGCTCTTCGTTCTTATTTATATGTTTGGATTCATGTATTCATGGGAAAGATTGCCATGCTTCTTGGATTTACTTCTTCAGTGGAAGTGTTTTATGCCATTCGGATTGGATTGGCATTTGTGTGTGCTCTTTCTCAAACAGTATTTGCAAAAGGAATTTATGAAAGATTTGGAAGTAGAATTACCTTGTTGACAATTCTCGTAACAATGGGATCGCCAGGAATGTTTATTTCATCAGCAGCTTATTTACCATCATCTTTTTCAATGTACATGCTCATGTTTGCTTTCGGAAATTGGTATAGCGTTGCCATTACGGAATTGGACAAGAAAATCAAATGGTTCTTTTGTGTCTTGTTTGTGGGATGTTCGGTGATTATTGGATGGCCATTTAGCGTCGTGTGTGGACTTCCAATTGCAATTGACACTATTCACAAGTGTGGATTCTGGAGGACTTTAAAATATGCAATTTTTGTTAGTGTTGTCATTATCTCTGCTACTGTGGCAATTGACTACTATTATTATAAGAGAATATTTTTCACACCACTGAATCTTGTCATGTATAACAAGGGCCAGGGAAGTGAAAAGTTTGGAGTGGAGCCATGGCATTTCTATACCAAGAACTTGATTTTGAATTTTAATTTGGCTTTCGTAGTTGCCCTTCTTACTCCATTCTTAGTATTGATACATTATTTAGTAACTAATAGTTGGGAAAATTTACTTATAGATAAATTGAGAGGAGCTTATATGAATCGTGCACAAAGATGGACCATTCACTACCGATGGATAATATTTATTTCCCCATTCTATGTGTGGTTTTTATTCTTCTCATCTCTTCCTCACAAAGAAGAAAGATTCATGTTCGTTGTGTATCCTTTGATATGCCTGGCAAGCGCAATTGGAATTGAACTTCTTTTGAGAATATTGGATATGATAATTTATAGGAAGGGAGCAAATGAGGTGAGTCATGCATGTTGTGACAATCATGGCAACAATTTTTAAAATTATTAATTAATGGAATAATTATTTCCTTTAACACTATTTATAATAATTATTTAATGGAATAATTATGTTCTTTAATAGATCACAATAGCTGTTATTAAAGAATACGAAGAGGAACCTCTCCAAAGAATTGATGACCACAAAATGGGATCCCTTGGAGTGAAGAGAAGTACTGTTTCAATAATAATGGCAGTTCTCATTGTAGGAATTATCATGATTCTCGGCATGTCACGCTCCATTGGTAATGTAAAAAATTTCCATGCACCACTCAAAGTGTATTCAGAGCTTCATAGTGAGCTAACGACCTTGGAAAAGAATGCTCCACCTACAAATAAGACAATTCCAGTCAATGTTTGTGTTGGTAAAGAATGGTATCGATATCCTTCTTCTTTCTTCTTGCCAACCTCCAAGAAGTTTGACATTAGAATTCGATTTTTAAAATCGGGATTTTCTGGACTTTTGCCCAAATATTTTGCAGATGAAAACCCAACCTCTTCTATTCCTACAGGCATGAATGACGAAAATCGTGAAGAAATGGACAGATATATACCAGAAAATAAGTGTCATTATGTGGTTGATTTTGACATTGCTGACCAAAAAGAAGAGAGTTTCAATGCCAAACCAGACAAGTGGACGCCAATCTTTCAAGTCCCATTCCTTGATGCCAATCACTCTCCAGCCTTTTTCCGTTCATTCTATATTCCGTTTTATAATATGAACAAGTATGGGACTTATACACTCTTTACAAGAAAAATCAACCAAGAAAAGGCAAAAGTGTAATGACGCTTAATTTTCAAATACACAAAAGCTTCGTCATCTAATTTTCAGCTACCTTTAACTATTGAGGTAGGTTTGGATTTATTTTTCTTGAGAGCTCTCACAATGACCATCATTACACTTACAAATCCGCATTGCTCCACATAAATTCTTCACTTTCCTTCACTGAATTATCGGACAGTCGTTTAAAGTATTGTGCTTCAAATCCGTTTGATCTATCCACACCATCCCACCTCCAGCCTGGTCGAATGTCAAAACGATTCTCTGGAGCTGGTCCAAGATAAACTTTTCTTATTTTCTTGTGCTTGATCTTTTCCTCAGTTGTCTTTTTTGCCGACAAAATTCTTGCCATAGGATCTTCTTCTTTGAGTTGATTGCTCAAATATTCATTGAACGAAGAATCTTGTGCATAAATAGGTTTGTATGTTTCAGACTTGGACTTGTCTAGCTCATCTTGCATTTCCTTCCATTCTTCTTTCTGTTTTAGGCCCTTTGCCCAAGCAATTTCATTTTGAGTAATCTTTTTTGTTTGCTTTTTTTTCTTTTTCATTAATTCAGCATATTCCTCGAAAGAGATAATTTTCTTAGTTTCTGGATGTCTGTAAACGGTAGTTTCAGGCTCATTTCCAGTAAGCCTTCGGCCTAGTAGTTGCTGAATAGCGTCGCTGCTAGGTGCAGCTGCTGTTGAGTGTTTTTCATTTGATGAAATACTGCTAGTAATGCTTGTTGTTGCTGCTGGTTTTCGCAATGGTGACAAGTCATCATCGCTATCATGACGTCTTTTGCTAACAGTTGCTGTTTCTACATGGGATATATTATTTAAATTTTGCACATTTCGAACTGGTGATAAATCTTCATCATCACTATCATGTCGAATCTTTTTTTCTATTACTACACTAGGTTTTGTATTTCTTGGTGGTGACAAATCTTCGTCATCACTGTCATGTCTCTTACTTATTTTTGTTGGTGGTTGTCGTGGCGGTGATAAATCTTCATCCTCGTCACTATCATACCTCTTCTTTGAAATGGTCATTTCTCTATGAGGAATAATGTTTGAAGATTGTACATCTATTGATTTTCGTATGGGTGATAAGTCCTCGTCATCATCGCTATCATGCCTCCGACGACTTGTAGAAGAAATTACATTTTCAGTTAAATCCTGCTTGCTATTTCTCACAGGTGATAAATCATCTTGCCTTTTACGTTTTACAAGATCCGATTCCTTCCTCTTATCATCCACTCTTTCATGAATCACCACAGGTTGCAAATCATCATCATCCTCTCTATCATCATTCCGAAAATTTTCCCTTGTTGATCCACCATAGGACTTGGGTATAATAATTTTTCCAACTGCTTCTTCGGGTTTCCGAGAGTCGTGATGATGATGGCGACTATCAGAAAGATATTTGGCCAAATAAGCCTTATCGGACACTGGCATTTTTTTTAATTTAATTATTTATAAAAATTTAAATAAAAAATTGGAATAATTGAACCTGAATGAAAACTTGTTTCAATTGATGAAATTCTGTTCATAGGATCCATGTAACATAATGTTTGTTCACAAACTTTAAAAAAAAGACCTTAATGAAGAAATATAAACTCTTATTCAATTTATAACTTCCAATTTTAGTGAAATCACTCAAAAAATTTACAAGCTGTGAGGATTGATTCCAGTTAAGATCTTGTTTTACGGTTACAGATACTTTCTCACAACTTTAGGACTAGAATGCCAAGAGAGAATCAATCGAATCAATTTTGGCATTTGTTGCGATGCAAGTTGAGTCAATGCTTCTTTTCCTTCTTTTCCAATTCGATTGCCGTGCACACTGAGAGTAGTGAGATTTTTGAAAGAGTGTGAATTGGCAATAATGATGGCACTTGCATCGTCCATATCGTTGTCATCGAGTATTAATTCGAAAAGATTCAAAAAATTTGAACTTGCTGTCATGAAATTCACTCCCTTCGAAGTGATGTTGTTGTTGGTCAAATCGAGAGAAGTGAGACGATGATAACTCCAATGCTCACATTGTTGTGAAATAATTTTCACTCCTTCATCTCCAATATGATTTCCATTTAAATTCAACACGGTAAGATTTCCTAACATGTTTCGACTTGTTTCCAAAAAAGTAAAAAGTGGACGAATGCATTCGTGTCCTTCCAATGCATCTTCACTTCTTCTTCTTCTTGGAATTGTCTCTCGTAAATTCAAACAAGTGACATGGTGCATATTTCTGCTATTCACGAACATTTGCATTACTTCTGGAGTTGAAAATAAACCATTGTTTAAACTGAGTTCAAGAGTGACGAGTCGATTCAGGTGTGAAGTTGGAGCAGCAAGAACTTCTATCGACTCTTTTCCAATCAAATTTCCAGATAGTTTCAATGAAGTGAGATTTTTCATGGTTGGACTTTGTGAAAGCACTTGAATGGCCAAATCTTGAATATCATTTCCTTTCAATGAAAGACGTTTCAATGGATTGAGTGTTTCAGAAGTTGCAATATGGAAAACTCCTTCGTTTCCACAATGGATGTAACTAAGCGAGAGATCCGTAAGTTGATGAAGATATTCACTCGATGCAATAAAAGAAATTCCTTCATGTCCAATTTCTGAACAGCGTGACAAGCGAAGGCATGTTAAATTTTTCATGAAAGGACTCGATGCAAGATCATGTGCTCCCTGAGCAGTAATCTTCTTGTTATCACTTGCTCTCAATGATGTTAATTGACTCATCCATTCACTAGTGGTTATGGCCTTCAATCCATCATTTCCAAATAAATTTCCACACAATGTCAACTCTCTCAAATTTCGCATGTAATGACTTGTTGCTATTTTAGTGACTCCAAAATCATCCAACAAACTTCTGGAACACTTTAGACAGGTCAAGTGTTGTAAATTTTCACTAGAAATCAGTGAATGAATTTGAGAACCTTCCAGAGGCATGAAACAAACATCTAGAATTGTTAAATGTTTCAAATAAGAATTTTGTAAAGTCAGTAATTGAGCAAAGCCTCGAATAAAGTCGTCAGATTTAAAATATGGTGTTGAAACGATCAATTCTGACAAATTCTTCATCTTTTCACTTGTAAACAATGATTGCAATGAAGAAATTGGTACTCGACACGCATACAAGTTTAAAGATTTCAAATTTTTCATCGTGTCACAGTGTGAAAAATTTGTCAAATCCAATTCTTCATTTTCTGCCACATCCACATGTGACAAATTTAGAGAGGTCAATTTACTCATATAGTTGCTCTTGATCAGAAATTTTAAACCATTTCGTCGCTTCAATTGGCTAAATCTCAAGTTGAGAGAGGTTAAATGATTTAAAAATTCACATTTTGTAAAGCTTTTAGACCTTTCTTTCCAATGAAACAACCATCTAAATTGAGTACAGTCACATTGGAAAGAAGTAACGGATGAATATTTTGTCTCTTGGTTCTGAAAAGTAAATCAAATTTGTTTTTTGAAATTTTACATCTTGAAAAATCTAAAGCAATTTTTGGATGGCTTGTCACGACAACACAATACCATTGTTTGCAAACTTTCATAAAAACTCCTCCAATAAATTCGAAATTGAAATCATTTATAAATTCTAAAATTTGAAGTAAAATTTCATTGGCGAGAATTGAACAGTTATGTGAACTTTGATTTTGGAAAATGTTGATGTAAGAGCGGTTGGAAAATGAATGATCATTGTTCGAATCTGTGGAAGAGGTTGTTGATGATGGATCAGAAGATGGAGTGGCTCTCCAAGTGGACATAAGCTTTTTGATTAGTGGCATTTTTTTGATGGGTTCTTATTTGAATTGGGAACGAGAAGAAACTCATAGCATACAATGGTTCGAATTTGAGATTTTTCAACTTTTGTCCATCATTTCAATTCGATTTGGAAAAGAAGAGGCCACACCTAAATTGAGTTGTTTTTTACTGGAATCATTAAAAAAATTTCGTAATTTCAAAAAACAGAACTCTGTTTCAGAAAAGGTCAAGGTTGATGATAGGGTTTTTGTTGTTGTTGTTGTGTGTTTTGAAATGAAAAGAATTGCTGAACTTGAGTATTGCCTAGTGGAGTGGATGTTGTTTGATTAGTTGATGACTGTTGTTGTTGCTGTTGCTGAGGAAATGACTGTGAAAAGTGAGACGGAAAGGATACCGTAGTGGATGATGAATCAAACTGTGACGCTTGTTGATGAGCTTGTTGTTGTTGTGTAGAACTACTTTCCATATAAGTATTGAAAATGTTGAACGGTGTGGGTTGTGACAATTGTTGAGAAAACTGTGTGGAATAATCGGTCGTACTTTTTCTCTGCATCATGCTCATCAAGAGTGCACTTGAATAGTCAGAGGTCTGACTTCCAACATTTCCACCACCACTACTGCCACTGGATGCAAATAAATTTTGGGAAGCAACATTCATGCTTGAAGGTGAAATGAGTTGTTGAAGTGTGAAATTTGGATCTGCAACTGTTGGTGATCGTACGTGATAATATTGAGCTGTCGTTGGTGATTGTTGAGCTGGTTGGAAATATTGAGTACTGACAAGATGGCCCGAGGAAAATTGTTGTTGCTGTTGTTGAATGGATGGTTGAGGTTGTTGTAATTGCAAGGATGGTTGTTGAATCATTGGAGTGACTGGTGCGCTCATTTTGCGTTTCTTTCTTGTTGCAGAAGTGTCAACTGTGGAGGCGCCTGTCACAGCAGAAGGCTGGGCTAACAGTTGACCTAAATGAAATTGTTGTGACGTTGGTTGTGAAATGATGGAGGGTATTTGAGTCGAAGAGGTTGGATCGAACATGACATTGGTGCCATAATTATATTGACCTGCAGTTCCCATCAATGATGTCATCAATCCTTGAGTTGCAACATTGGATGTAAATTGAGGCGTCATTCCACTCACCATTGGATATCCCGACGTGAAAGTTTGTGGCATCATGAATCCTTGTTGTTGAGCTTGTGTCGTTATTTGTTGAGCTTGTTGTTGTGACATGTCATTGAGGTCAGGTCTCTTTTTCCTTTTTAATTGTGTGGTAGAAGATACTGAGCTAGGCGTTGTCACAGGTGAGATTTGTTGTTGATAATTTTGTACATGTTGAGCAGAAGAAGGAGTTTGTTGAGTTGGTGATGTTTGTGGAACATCTTGAACCACAACATTCAATTTGCTTGCTTGTGACCTTCTCTGAGGTTGTTTTCCAACATGCACCACTGATCTCATTTGTCCAATCATGGATCCAGTATTTATATTTCTAATATGAGTGTTTGTAATGACTCGTTGTTGAGTGGATGATGAAGATGAAATCGACATGCTACTACTTTGATGAGCTGAAGAAGTGGTTGTTTCTGCATCATCGTCAGATTCTCCAGCGCCAGCATGTGAACTCTCAGTTGCTTCACTACTACTCGATGGAAGCACAGATTTTGGATCATTCTTAATGGCAAGGATTTGTTTTTCAATTTTCATAATGTCATTTCGTAATTGTTCAATTCGTGAGGTGAGTTGATGCTTTTTAATGGGATCGAGAAGAATGCCAGGGGAGTCTTGTTTTTCGAGCTTTTCCAAGATGATTCTCTTTTCATTAATCTTGCTCTTGTATCTGTGTTGTGGGAGTTTGTATGAGCACGTTTCAACACGAATCGTGTAGCGACATGAATAGCATGACAGGTGACAGTTGTTGATTGATCCACACATGACATTGTATGAGGTTAGTGCCGACATGATGTCGCCATCATCATATCATGTTCGTTACCTCTACTATAACAAGATATATTTGAAATATACTTACGATTGAATTTTTCTATAGGGCCATCGCGGTATCCCAATTCCTAATGTAAAGATGATGATGAATAAATCGAGTCGATATTGAGAATATTCCATTTCATTGAAATCAATGGTTGAGAATCGAAGATGAAAATAATTGAATCAAACAATGTTGATGACACATGTGTCATTGTCATCATCACAATCGAGCCATTCAACGCGTTGCATGTCCATAATTAATAATATTAATAAATTTTCATCACATGATATGTTATTGACACATAATTCTTCTTTTACTTACCTCTACAAATTCTTTTCAATTGCGTGAGTGAAATATTCAACATGGCTGCCACATTCTTGATCGGCGTTTCAAAATAGGGCTGTAATTGAGAAATGGTAAATGTGACAGAGGATAGAGTAGAAGTGGATGATTTGATCAATGATGATGTTAAAGGTGATTCCTCCACTGTTGTTGTTGATGCTACTGTCGTCGATGATGACAAGGAAGACGATGGAAGAATATTCTCTTGTTCTTGTGGTTGAGAGGATTGTGTCCTTCTATTAGTAGTACTAGTGGTGGCATTCATCGAAGTTTGAAACGATTGGGAGAATGTTTGTGATGATGATGATGGTGGTTGTTGTTGTTGTTGTAACTCGAATTGAGAGGAAGATGGCATCATTCCATACAGTTGGCTCAGTAGAAGAGAATGTGAGTCATCATGGACAACACTCGTTGTTGTTCCCGAAGGATTCGTACCAAATAAATCATCATCATGAGGATGTTGACTCGTGGTTGTCATGGTGTCGACTAGAATGGTTGTTGTTGTTGATGATGATGGTTCATGTTCAGATGGTTGAAAGTGATGAAAATCATCTTCCATGAGAGTCGAATAGGAAGAAGAAGAAGGAAACTGTTGTTCTTGACTTGCAAACAGCATATTGTTGTTATTGTTATTGGAGAAGAAAGAGCCTTGAAAGTTGGTTACTGATGATGATGACGACAATGACGAATGAAGATGACTTGAAAGAATGAGGGGAGAAAGAAAGGAAAGCGAATGAGAATCTCCTAATTCAGTAATCGTTGTTGTTGTTGTCGTCGTAGTTGTGTGATGGTGGTTGTTGTTAATGTTGTTATTTGGTGTCGAGGATTCGTATAATGATGATGCAGTAGTAGTTGTTGCAATTGTTGGAACTGTTGATGATGCAGTTGCTGTTGTTGGTGTGGTTGTCGTCGTAGTACTGAGATTTATGTTTGAAGAATGGTCTTGTGGTTGTGACATGCTGTTGGAGAGTGAATGACAGACAGAACACACACTCACTCAGAAATGATGATTGGAATTGAATTGAATAATAATATAATATTATAATATAATATAATAATTATAATAATAATAATTATACGTTTTACAACAACAGTGTTGCGAGGGTCGAAAATTGTAATGATGATACTTTTGAGGTGTGATGATTGTCTACTTGGTGCTTCTGCAACAATCAACACATAGCTCTCTCTCGTCGTCGAGTGGTCGTCGTATGAGAGTGTGGTGGAAATGTGTTTTCTTTAATGACGATGATGATGATGATAAATTTTGGAGTATTTCAAAAATCTCGAGAATAGTTGTTTCAGCACCACCAGCGAGCTCTCGAGAGAGGAAAATTGCAGTTTACTGGTGAGTGGTTGTGATATTGTTGTTGTTTGAAGAATAATTGACTTTTTTAAAATGCAAAGTCTTGTGAGTGGTGGTTGACAATTTTCAGCGCTGCAGCGAATGGAAATTTGCGGATACAAAATCTGAATACAGATGCAGTTAATATGACTGCTGTTATCAGAATCGAGATTTCGATTTGTTTTTGTGTTTTCAGAAACAAAATTTCTGAAAATGTGACGAATGGATGATTTGGTGGTGCGAACGGTGCGATGAGAGAGACCAACTAGTACACAAACATGCAATAACACACTGAGGTTTTGCAAGATCTTGAAACGAGATGTATGATTCTTATTGTTGTTGTTGTTATGAATGATTAGGAAAAGTACTTTCAAGAGACGATATCGTTAGAGTCGGTTGAGAATGGTTGTTGAAAGAGAGAGAAGGAGCATTAGAAGAATCATTCGAATTTCGAATTGGATAATCCCATCCAACTCTGGTAACAATGTTAGGTCAAAGGAAATTCTGTGATAGTTTTTTTAGAGATGGCAATCGAATGTCAAACTGTCAAAAAAAATTTCCGATTTGTGAAAGAGAAATGGTGCGCAAAGACAAGGTAAAGCCTAAACAAGACAATAAGGTCACCCCACATGTGTTTCTTACGCAATAAGAAATTCACTCCATTCGGTATTTTTTATTCAACATGGTCTTTCCTTGTTAATTGAGAGACAACTGAACAACACATTTCAAGGAAAGACTTGGACATTCAAAGAACTAACCGTGTAAAGTAAATAGATGGTAAATTTCATGAAAGAATGACCTTGAAAGTTATTCTCCTGAATTTCTTGTCTCCAAAGCAGTCACTTGAAACTAAGATTGGACAATGAGATTCTTCAAATGAAGTCGGGAATGGGAGAAATGGGTCTAGACCAGATTTGAAGCATCATGTCCCTTTTTGTCATGGAATGGTTTTAGATCTGTATCATTCAATTGAAGAGAATGAGCAGAAGGTGATGAATAAGGTGAAGACCATCTCATGGAACGCTTGTTAAGGTGTGAAAGGAAAAGGTTGCACTTAAAATTTCCCAAAATTGGTTCTCCAACACTCCACACTTTGCCATTGGAATATAATACAAGATTACAACTTTTGATACTAAATTACTGGAAAACATTGTTGTTGAGACAGTTCAACTCGTAATGGTGCAAAAAAAAGGACCAGTGCAACCGTTACATGAAAATCATTGAAAAATCGGATAAGAAACTGTGACCAAGTATCCATGAAGAGAATTGTGGACAATTTTCTTTTGAGGAAATTGGTGATACGCGAGGTGCTACTTTGGAACATTATAATGCCTTTGTTTGGAAGTGCAATTGACATTGTGGGATTTACAAGTTTTTCACAGGAGAGATTCATGGTCACTCACATTCATGCTCTCCATGAATTCATTCCACTACATGATCTTCATTAATTAATTCTTTAATAACATAATAGATTTTCACATGTAGAATATCCACCATTACTTTTGTAACACCAAGTCTTAGAAAATTTCTTCTTGAGGGAGGGCTTCTTCTTCTGTTTGAGAATTTGACAATACTTCTACAGGTGGTTCTTCATTTACAATGTTTGATGTGCTGCTGCTCTGAGTGGTAACAGTAGGAATTTCTTCATTTGTTGGAGTGGTAGTTGTTTCTGATGTGAATAATGTTGTTGCTGGTGACACTGTTGTTGAACTTTCTTCATCACTTTCCACAACAGTCAAGTATTGTTCTTTAGGAACAGTAAATCGTTGAAAATGTTGTTTAGCTAAAAGACAAGATCCACTACTTTGAAATCGATACGAATGCATGTAATCTCCCTCCACTGCAATTCGATACAAGTATTCATTTTCCTCAAAAAGTTCAAGCATGGTATTGAATGCATGTGTGAAAGTGGAATCTACTCCAATATGTTGTTGTTGTTCTGGATGATTCATGTGACCATAATGATCGTATGAATGTGCAACTAGATATGAAACAAGATAATCTTCCATGGAATGTCTAGAAACTTTCTTTGTGACATTGGCTTTTCCAAGACAATCGACTTTGTAAGCAAGATTTTCGAGATAATCTTTGGCAGTGACAGAGAGTTGATAGCTCAATAATCCAGTGCTGTCATTTCGAATGCAGAGTTGACCATTTTCGTGAATGGTATAATTGAATTCTGCGTTGGGAGATTGATAGCAACTTTCAATTCGGAAAGTGCTGCAGACGGCATGAGGAGGACATTGTCGACATGGATACCACGAAGAAGATGAACTGCCTGTAAATTTGAATTTTTCAAAATGCATGAATCATATTCCATGAATGGCATTTAACAGGTCAAGGATGGATTGAAATGCATTCATGGTCCAATCATTTCCGTTGAGTGTTAATTTCAATCCATTCCATGCATTAAAATTATACAACAACAACAACATTCCATCATGACAAGAAAATTATTTCACAACAACAACAAAATTCCATCACAACACAATGAAACAAAAAACAGTTAAAACACACACAAACACATTAATGGACACTTACAAAATGGTCGATACGACGATGCCATCCACACTCCAAACAAAGCCACCAACACCACAAACAACAAGACCATTTGATGACTCAAATCCACTGAAAAGTTCCTTCCTTTTCGACCGTGATCCTCCGATTGTAAGTATGAAATCAGCTTACTCAATTCCAACACAGTGTTTGTATGAGAGGATTGAGTAATTTCCTTTTCAGTCAAACGATGAGTCACATAACAAGGTGTCTCATGTTTGGGTGTTGGTGGAGCATCTTGATCGAGATGAATACTTTGATTGAGAAGAGAGTCATCGTCGTGAACTTCCAATAAATCATCGACAAAGGATAATTCTTGATCGGGAGGCTGTTGCTGAGAGGTGGAGGTTGTCCATACTGTTGCTTGTGGAGGATTGTTGTTGGTAGCACCTAGATGTCTAGTTACAAAAGTCGCAGGTTGTCGTTTCGTGGGAGTTTTGAAGGGATCAAGGAGATGACTAGACATGGTGATGGGCTAATAATAATAGATGATGATGAGGTTCAAATACAAATCGCGATGAGGTGATGATGATGGTACGGAGTGGATGAAGCTTGAATCTTCTTCTGGAGAGTGGTGTGAAGGTGATCAAACCCGAAACGTTTTAACGGTGATGAATTTTTTTGGCTTAAAGATTTGTTTGGTATTTGTGTGAAAGTGACAAGCTGACAGCGATGACGGTTGCTTATCAAGAGTTGGGTTCTTATCAAAGTAAACTTGTCCCTCCCGTATCCACAACTTGGCATCAAAACTCTAATTTGTTGTAATGCAGAAGGAAAGTTTAATAAATCCCAAACAACAACTATCGTTTCACTAAATTGACAACACTCTTCGTTTGAGCCATTCCTTTTGGAGGAATGACAGACTTGCTAAGGGCCTTTTTGGTTTGTTGTTTGGCCAGGTAGTTGACAGGGCTGTTGGTGTAGGATCGAGGGAGAGATGGAGTTTTGGAATGCATTGAAATTGGAGAGGATCCAGTAGGTGTTTCAGATTCTGGTTTCTTGAACAGCTCAAAGGGAGCCATTAACAATTGTTCATGTGCAAAGAATGAACCACCCAAAACTCTCTTCAACTCGTCAAAACCATTGGCTACATTGAGCTCCCATTCCTCTCTAAACATATCCAACTCATTTTGCTTTTCGCTAAACTCGACATAATTTGCAAGCACTCTTTGACGCTCATTGTCTTCAATTTCTTTCAATCTCTTGTTACCAATAATGACCAATCGCTTCATTTCCAGCTCGCTTAAAACAACTTTTAAATAAGGTGGCTTTGGCTTCTCAATAATTTCTCCATTTTCGTCTCTGATGGAGGAGGGATCGATAGAGGTAGCTCCACCACTAAGAGCACTCTTGGCTTGCAAAATGTACATGAGTTGTTGTACTCTTCTTTCATATTGTTGTAGTTTGTTCTTGTAAATTTTCTGAGCTGTAATGTACTCCTTTCTTCGTTGTTTGAGATCACTAGAAATTATTTCTTTCTTAATCTCTAGAGGCAACCGCAACAGTCGAAATCTGAATTTGTCTTCACGTTCCAAATTATCAACAGTATCATCGAGGCTTGGAGTTACTGCAATCTTACTTTCCTCACGAAGAAGCATTGGACTTGAAAGTTGAGATGAAGGTCTGCGATTCAGAGGTATCACTCCATTTGGAGGAAGCTTCTTCTTTTTAGGAGGTTCTACAACTTCGCCTTTCAATGGAATTCCACGAAGCATTTTAGCCTCGACAATGGAATACTGCAGTACTTGAATCATTATTTGCATTTGTTTAATTTGGTGCCACTTTCTCAAAAATCGTTGCACCTTGATTACCTTGCTCCAAAACAAATGAACTTGTCTTACGATTTGGAAAGACATGTTGGTCTCTCTGAGGAAGGACTTGATAATCATTGTTGATTCCTTCTTTTTCTTTACACCAATCCAAAGACGATAGAATATCCAGTGTCTTAAAATAAAAAATGTCATTAATATCCAACAAAGTTACATTCAGAAATAAACAAATACATACTTCTTGAAAACGTCCCAAGCTTGCTTCCACTTTTGGCTTCTTTTTGCCCAAATTACTGGCATCAAACTGGTGTAGGAAATTTTTTTGACTCTCTTGAATTTTTCTTCTTCTTTCCTTAAATATCTTCGTCTCAAGAGCTCTCTTGCAAAAATTAAAAATCTTGACAACAGGCAGACAAAGAAAGACCACTTGGAATATAATTCTGCATCCTTTGCCTTATTTTCATTTTCTTGTCGATTATATTCTGCCAGTAGTCTTCTCTTTTCATCCTTGAGAGCCAGATTTTCTTTACGATCCTGAAACTCTTTTGTTAATTTTTCTTTCTTTTCTTGAGCTTGTACAATCTTGTCATTTCGTCTTTTAAACTACAAAGCCGATATGATATTTACGCAATAAATACTTGTCTTGGAAAGACTCCAAAATGGAATATACTTACTGCCTCTTTTAATTGTTGCATCCGAGTCTCTCTGAAATTTTCTGGTACCTTCTTATTTCTATTCACATGGACCATTTGCAACTTTTTATCTTGTTCCGCCTCCTTTGTTTGTTTTTCGTAAAGATAAATATCCTTTTCCAATCTCTCAAGCTCGTCCGGATTATGATACAAAATTTTAAGTCTCTCGTCGACTTGTTTCCTTACACTTGCATTTTTCTTTTGTTTTCGCTTAATTTGTTCTTTCTTTTTCTTATTTTCTAATGTTTTCATGAGAGTAAGACAATGAATGTTAGAAGCTCAGATATTATTCGACCATTAACTTACCCAAATCCATTTCTTGTTTTTCTTCATCGCATTTCATGGATAAAATCATGTTCTGAATGTCATCATAAATGTCGTTTTCTTTTGCATTTTTTCTGTATTGTGTGCCGAGGTCCATCGCTTGTCTAAATTGTTGATCACTTCCTAGCGTTGTTTTTTGTAAATAATCCCAACAAGACTCGACGAGTTGGTTATGAGAAAGAGTGAAGGATGAAAGTTCGGGTGAAAACAACTCCTCCTCCAAACTGTCATAGTCAATTTCATACTCGTTATTGACTTCCATACTTCTTCTCATGGTAGTACCAGCAGAAAGCAGCCTTCGTGTTCCTCTCTTTGCGGATTGTGGTTTCCCTCGTACATTTGGGAACCTCAGATCGACCAGTCCATATTCTCCAGTATTGAATATGGCCTTCTCAGTTTTTGGAGTTTCAATCCTCAAATCCCTCTCATACGATAATGTAATACTTTCAGGTGTTTTTGAACTTCGTAAAGAGGGTAACCCTTTCAGATCCTTCTTGTTCGGTGTGGTAACATCGAGTTGTGAGGATGGTCTCGAATGCACATCCGGAAGAGAGGACGAATCAAGTCTCGACGAGGAGGAGGTTGTTGAAGAGCTTCTGATGTGGTGTTGATGATGATCAGCCACACTAGACATTCCGATTTATCCTACTGTACAGTATACTGTATCGTTGTTGTTATGTATTGCCAAGTAAATATTCGGAAATTAATTGTTGATGATCGTTGTTACTCGGGTACTTTTGGAAACGAGCAGCTTTTCAGCTTTTTTTTGGCGCGGTCATCTACAACTCAAATCTCTCGCAAAAGCCTGCTCGAGCATTATACGGTGGGTGTTGCAACAAGGGAAGGACGGCGATCGCATTCTCAAAAAATGGATGTAAGAATTGTTGGGGACGAGAGAAGGATGAACATGATATCGGCCTCTTCTGTGTTCATCAACGACCAAGCAAGTAACAACAATGTCATCAACCTGTTGAATAATAATCATAATCAAAATAATAATAGTGGTGTCAATCATCCTCATCATCAACAGTATCAAAACAATCATCATCAAATTGTTGTTGCAGGAATGACCAATAATAGTAGCACTATAAATGGAAATAGTAGTGGAGCATTGAAGGCAGGGGTGGTTCTCCGAACCAGAGTGGAGCTTCCACAATTTGATTTTCAAGGCTTGCCTCAAATCCCAGTCTCGTCGGGTTATGCCAAGAGGTTGAGCGAGATCAAACAATATGGACCCAATACGTTTGTTTTGAATAAATCGGAGAAACCACCATCATCAGGCACACAGCGTGCGATGGTCTATCAGTACACTACCGAAAGTATCGCCAACAGAAAATTGATGCAGGAGAGAGAACAAGTTACCTTGCCTAATATTCGATCTCGGGAATCAAAATCAGCTCAGTCGTTGGGAAAGCCTGTTCAAATCCTTAATAGACAAACGGTGGTAAGTATGTCTCAACATATGTTGGTCAACAATATTAGAATATTGAATCTTGTAATTATAATATGTCTGTCGAACATGAAATGTTTTAAAGATGAAATTAACTCATGCAGAAACGGAAGAGGAAGTTTTGGAATGCCTGGCATCAGATAAGGATCTAGAAGGAGTAGAGCAAGAGGATATGGATTCATTCAGAAATTTATATTATCTTGATGTGTCTGGAAATTATATTCCTTTTGAGCAGTTGGCTTCTATTCCCTCACTGAGAAATTTAAATATTGGATGTAACGCCCTTTCAGGTATTTCAATACCCCAAAATGTGGATAATGCATTTGCCAAATTGGAGGTATGTTTAATGTCACGACTCAAAACTCATTCAAATAATATTAATTTGGTGTGGATAGATTTTAAATCTTTCTTATAATACTTTTTCGGATCCATACTTATTTAATGAGCTGGGAAAATTGAAACAATTAAGAAAACTTGACTTGAGCGGAAATAACTTACAAGGGCTCCCAAATGATCTTTCACAATTTAACCTCACTGAAATTATTCTAGAGGACAATGTGTTAGATTTTTCTGTATTCTATTCTTTGAGCTCAATACCAAGGTAGGTGCTTTTGGATTGAGTGATATTGAGGCTCATCATTGCTCCGTTTCATCGAAAAAACATTTCACCTAAATTATTATTATTCCACCTAAAATTCATCGATCAGTCTTGTTGAAATATCTCTCAACAAGAACAAAATTGAGAAAATTCCTAAAATTCGAAAAGAAATATTTCCAAACCTCCTTCGCCTACGACTGGAAGAAAATGAAATTACGACACATGAAGATTTGTACGTCAACGAATTCTCCTGTCTGGAAGTTTTGTATATTAGCTCGAATCCTATCATTAATAGAAGCAAGGACCTAGAGAGATCTAGATATAACTGTAACAAGAGAAATATCCAACTGATCATTTCAGGATCCGTCATTCCTTCAGAAAAATTGCCTGTCACCAAATTCTACAAGTTAAACTCCATGATTAATGTAAATAGTATTAACAAAAAAACGCAACCGCTTCCAACTCGAGAGAAGGAAATTGACAATTCAAAGGAAGAGGACACTGATAGCTCTTTCTTCATAACTGCGGTTCCAAGGCTAGATCTAAAGGCCGTTTCTGAAAAGGAGCAAGGCTCTGAAAAGATTCTAACCCCAACAAGTCCTTTCCGATCGCCCACCACCAAACTCTTCACAGCACAATCTGCTTCAGAAATCAAGAAAATTACTGAATCCTATGATAGAATGAATGACATTGGCAAGAAAGTCAAGGTCACCTATGATGTCAAAGATCTTCGCAAGAGCTCACGAATGCCAGCCGACAGGTATGAATATAATAAGGATTGGTTCGATCTGGATGTGGCACTCAATAATGTGGATGAATCACTAGATGAAGAAATTAAGAGAAATGCCTCAATGATATCTCAAGAAAAGCAAAAGTTGGCCCTCTATAATGACAGTGTTGACCTTTACAAAACCAATCTATCGGATAAGAAGAATACGTATCGTGCCCTCAAATTTGCGATCGAAAATCCCATTAAGTTGCCATTTGCTGCCATTAGGGAGAGTACAAGTGACACCACCAAGACGTCGCTCGATGTGAGTGCACTGAAGAGCTTGTATAGTTAATGGAGAATTCTCCTTAATAAGCAGAGATACTACAAATATAGAACTTTTCAAGAATAGAGAGGATAGCATCAAGAAAGATCAATGTCTTCCAGGATGATCTCATCTGGGGAACCATTTGTGTCAGTCCTATGGTATTCGTGCTAGCACGACTTACAGAATAAATGGTGAGAGGTAATTAAGAGCTCATTTCGAAAGTGTGACCATTATTTCGATTCTTTTTCTTTGGTTATTGCTGGGAAGCCTGAAAATTCGTCCTGCTCTGATATGTCATGTCTTCTTTTCTCATCTTCAAAAATATTTGAAGGAGTTCCTTCGATAGATTTTCTCAATTTCTCAATCTCTTCTTCGGATGTAATTAAATTCTTGATCTTCTCGGCCTCCACTCCTTCAAAGATGGAAAAATTGATTGGCTTTAAGTATTGTTTCAAGACTTGATTAAATATTGGAGAGACAGGATCCGTCAAAATTGATGTTAAAAAAGAAATCATTCTTCCTTTTTGTTCTTTCTTATAATCAATATATAATTTTCTCTTTTCTTCAATATTTGCAATTGCTTTTTTTCGTACATAATCCGCGAGCATGGCATCATCACTTCTTTGGAATGGAAATTTTTCATCATCACCACCATTACTTTGAAAATTTTCTTTTGAAATGGTGGATGAGGTTTCTGTATCATCCTCACGCTGATCCGAACCATTGCTCTTGTCAGATTCAGTCACGGTGGTTGTTGAATCCTCTTCATTTGGATCAAGTTTGGTCTTTTCTCGCAGACTCATTTTTAATATTGGATGAAATCGTAATTACTGAAAGTCAATGAAACAGTTTCAATTTTAATTGAATTTTCGAATAACTTGAAGCAGCGAGCCAAGAATTTGGTTTGTAAAGAAATCTTCGTTGCAAGTTCCTTTCAATTTCCAGCAATAACCAGAAGAAAAAATGTGCAATGCCTCACACTCGGCTGATTCATCGTCTCTTTTAGATACCGAAACAACGGAATTGATGAAAAAATCATTTTCAGCTATCATCAAAGGAGAACGAGTTCCAAATACTGATTTTTTACAGTTATATAACTCTATTCACTTGCTGCTTCATCATGTGGATGTTTCGGCCAAGAAAGATTACTCTGCCATTCATCGGGATTTGTTTGAATTGGTTCGAGAACAAGTTTTTAAATCAATTTCAGAGAGCGATTTAATGAAACAGGTGATCCTGATTTTAACTGATAATTTTGATTTTTCCAATTCGGCTAACAATTTAATTGATCTTTGGACTAAATCAATAAGAACTGTAGATCACTTCATTCAACGATTATTCAAAGGAAGACAATATTTCCAAAATTGTTGCCCGTTGAGCATTGTTTTGGGGAGTCATGTTTTTGAAGAAATGTGTTGTGAGGCAGCTTTAGACTGCATGTCTTGTGAAGAGGGAGAGACATCGCATTACCCCAGAACTTGTACCAACCATGGTCGTGATGATAGCAGTACTGACATGTTAGAACAATTGAAATCAACACTTCAGGAATATTACAAGGAACAATCAAAAAAGAGTGAAGAATTATTTAAATCATTCAAAACTTTAACTCAACAGCCAATTCCAAGACATAAATTTACCAGATCAAAAAATCTAATTCACTACGTGCAAGGTGATATGGGCATCAAATTTGCAGATATTGACGGAAGCAAGTTAGTACGAACAGACATTCCTCTCTCCAAAGAATGTAATCTTGTGGAGGATCCTATTGCCTTTTATATTGATGACGTTTTGACCAGTGAAGAATGTGATCAAATTATTCAAAAGTCTGAAACACAATATGGATATAGGACTCTCGAACATGAATTCTTAAAATATGAAAGAGACAATGATCGTGCTCTTATTTCATTTCCCTATTTTGCTGATCTATTATTTAAGAGAATTAAGCCTGTTCTTGAAAAAGACCCACATGTGTGGAATGAATTGAGACCTTTTGGTTGGCACAACGAAGGAAAGTGGCAACCCTCATTCATTAACACCTGTATGAGATGTTGCCGATACACAGGTCCATGTGTTGGCTTTATTCCTCATAGGGACGGTAACTTTGTTGCAAATACAGATCAGCGATCTAAATTCACCATTATTGTAAGTATGGAAATTGTCAATCCTCATCATTGAAAACAATTTTTGTAAATTCTAAAATGTGCATGAATGGCATCTAACCATCATTAATTGTGTGGTGACTCTCTCAGATCTACCTTAATGATGATTTTCCAGATGGCACTACAGATTTTTTGAGAGCCCACCAACCTGCCACCATGGGTGAACTGGTTCGAGAGGAGCTGGAAAGAGGTTATTCCATCGAATTCAGACTCAAACCCAAGAAAGGACGCGTACTCATTTTCGATCATGTGCTTCTTCATCAAGGAGCTCCAATTCCAAGTGGTCATCTCAAGTACATTATTCGAACAGACCTCGTGTTGACTCGAGTGGAAAATCCCTCTCCAGATCTTTCCTACCTCAAAGATGAATATTATTGGAAGATGTTGTACTATTACAAAATTGCAGCGAATTACGAATGCCACGGATTTGTCGATGTTTCCTCTGAATTGTACGAAAGAGCGCTTTCATTGAGAATGCATTATCCAAGAAAAGGTTCACACATTCCGAGTGTGAAGAAATTACCGCCTCTTGACACTAATAAGTGATGTGACACAAGAGCAGAGCTATTACTTTGGACCTGTATGGCAGCATCTCCTTGTGGCGTTGTCTTTTTATGAAAGCAAGATGATGATTGTTTGTTCAGTTGTTCATTGGCGCAATGAAGCAAAAGGAAACCGCCCTTGCATATGCAAATTTTCCTTTTTCAAACCTATAATAACCACATGTCCAAGCGCAATAAACAGCACCGTGTTTGGATTGCGGTTTCTCAACGATTCACCTGCGTTTGAACGTTTGGAATGCGAAGAGGTACTGATGCCAAATGTCAAAACAAACCTCCAAAAATTTGCGTCCCTTCGTCTCGGTCTTTAATAATCAAAAATGATAGCGGAGAGAGCAACAACTCCTTCTTCGCCATCCTCACCATCTCCATCATCACCATTAAATCATAACAGTGGTTTTATTGATTGTTGCCCAACAAATCCAAAAAAATCCTTGTCTTTGACATCTGACTTGAACCAACCCATTCAGAATTTTAAAACACAGCTCGACCATCATCAAAAGGAGGAAATTCCTTCTTCCTTTCAAAAACCCAATCATCCCATCAACATGTTGAACCATCATAATGACAACGAGGAGTATGAAAATCATCATCATGATGATGATGAATACATTTCAAACGATGAAAACTTTTTTTCCAAAATGACTATCGACACCTCCAACAACAACAAGAATAAGAAGAACAACAACAACAACAACGAAGATGAATCGATTTTAACCAGACCATCATCATCATCAAACACATTCAATTCTCTCCATAAATATACTTCCAACAACTCATCAGCTTCCTCTGTATTCTCCAATCTAACCTCCTCCTCCACCACCACTCCGGTCACAGCCTGTACGACCTCTACCACAACAAATACCGATTATTCTTCTTCTTTCTCTCAATCCTTGTTGATGAATCCATCTTCCAATATGTTTGAGGAAAATTCTGATGCCAGCATGTTATCAGTGGTGACCACAAAAACGAGTCATTCTTCATTGTTTTCATCAGTAACGGATACATCATCCTCATCATCGGGTTCAGCAACACTTCATGTACCATTAGTATTGAATCATATAGAGGAACCTTTTGAAGATGTTTTTGATGAAGAACCTTTTGAGGGAGAAATGACCCCTGTTCAGTTTGTGGAATTACAGAAATCAAACAAGAAAACAGAAAATCGTGTGAATCATGATCGAAATAATTGTTGTGACGAGAATGCAGTGGCGGAGATGATGGTGAATAATCATGATGATTGGAAACGAAAAAATATGACAACACGTGAAACAATCACAACGATGGATGTTGTCAACACACCACACAATGCAGACAACGATGATGATGTTGGATTGAAACCATTGAATTTAACAACTTCTAAATGGAAATCACAAAATATCTCATCACAACCACAGGTGTCAACCAATCAGGATCCTATGAATCATGGTCATACAAAGCATGTTGTGATTGAAGAAGAAATTGAAGAAGGTTATGATGATGACGATTACAACGATGAAGAGCATGACGAACCTCTAATGTTGACCACGACTGCATTGACAAAAGATGCGTTACTGCCGTTCCGATCACAACAGAAAATTTCAAAAAACTTCTCAACAGCTGCTAATGTATCAACACCCCAATACTCTCCTCATCCAGCTGTTTCGTCGGCAACATCTCCTTTCAAAGTTACACCAAAATCTGCCTTTCATTTAAGAAATGCCAGTGTGACGAGTGACGTGACAGTCTATTCAAACATGTACGACGATTCATTGGATCCATCTCTGATACAGAAATATTATGATAATTTCGATGATGACGATTATTTTGATTTGGAACCTCAAAAGTTAACAATCACATCAAGTCGACATAATTTTAATTTAGACAATGAATTTGAGGAAGAAGAGTCTTCTTTCACAAATGGTCGAGAAGATTTTCGCGATGATTTATCGCCGTTTCTGATTCAAGTGAACACAAATATTAAACGACAAGTGAACAAAATAGGAGGTGAAGAGACACGCCCTGAAGTAATTGGAAGTTCTCACTCTGGGCGGAATCCAGTCTACAACATGGATCATGACGATGATGAGCAAATACCGAGCACAATTTTCGGTCGAATTAAAATTCCAAGAAAGAGTGGAGAAGCCAAAGCTCAACAAGCACTTTACAAAATGTTGGCCTCTAATGAAGGAAGAAATCGAGCAGTTTCTGATGTCACATGCTTTATACCAAAAGTTACTGCATCGATATCGAACTTGACAAGATCTGCCATCACACCTCCTACGAATTCAAATCTAGAAGATACATTATATCTATTTTCTGTAAATAATGACCCTCAAATTAACAACAATGAACATTTGAGAATTAGAAAGGAAAGTGTAAAGCTTGTGGAAAGTTTGGGATTAGATGGACAAATTTCCGAGTCACATTTCAGACAGTCGGATTTAACTCTGGAAAAGCAACGAATCAATTTTTTGCATTTGTATTCACCCATTCATCGAGAGAAGATTCGAACAGATGTGTCACTCGTGCTTCAATCTCTGTTTAGAGGTTATGTAGCTCGAAAGAAGCTCATCAAAGGTCTTGTTTATGTGGAATATATATGTACAGCTGCTTTGGGACATGTTTGGCGAATGAAATTGAACAAGTTGAAGATGGAACGAGATTTGTTAAAATCCACACAACTCACAGGAACGACGATAATATCTTCTCCTGTGAGAGATCATAACATTCGAACGCAAACACAGCTAGAAATGATCCCAACGATGAACATTGCAACATTCAAAGTCAGCACTTCTCTCAACACTGGAAAGACATTGAATGAAAAAGTTGTGTCTCCACTCAGACTTCAATCGCCATCTCAAAGTATTCCAATCATTGACAGGACTCTCATGGATCACTACTCGAGAAATGTAGAAAGAATTATTCAATTTCAAGCACTGTGTAGAGGATATTCGAAAAAGCTTTCAACCACGATTAGAAATCTCAAATTAGAGAGGAGACGTCATTTATTGACCAAGAGTCATCCACTGATTCGACACGTCTATATTTCCTTTTTGGAGCTTCTTTTTGGAAAATTAGATCTTCAGAAAGATGTGAACGACAAGAAAAAATTGATGGAAATTGACAATCCTTCCACCACGAATATTATCATGAAGAAACACAAATTATTTCCTCGATTTCTTGAAAATATTTACCAATTATTTTCGTGTAACACAAAGGTAAGTGTGTACACTTGTTTGAACTAATTGTCAATTTTAATCAATAATATACTTGTAACTACTGCAACAGAACAAGTATCGAATCATGAGGAGATCCCTTCGAGATGTTCTGCTCGAGAGCAATCACCCTGATTGCAAAGAACTTGTAGATTTTTATGACAAACAAAAATATAATTTAAATCAAATAGGAAATGTCACTCACGAGCTCGATAGTGAAAGTTTTGAAATGAAAGTTTTTTTGGAATTTTTACTCGATCAAGGAAATGTTCTCCCCAAAATACTCGCTCAAATACTTCTCTCAGATCAGGTCTACGAAAGGAATCGACATTTATTTGACAATTCATTCATTTCAAAGCAAAAATTCAAACATACCATTCTGTTGGTTCATGAGCAGAAAGCCATCCATTTCTCCACTCATTCAAAACAAATTTATACTGACAAGTCACCCATGACCAATGATGCTCATGCTGTGGATATTGCATTCTTGTGTGAAGAATTGAGTAAGGTGTTCTTTGATTTCAAATACACACCTGCGCTCTTTGAAAAGAGGCACTATGTATTTCATTCCACGGTGTGTGAATTGTTGGAATTATTCAGAGAGTCGGAAGATGGCTTCGGAAATCGTACGAGTGATTATGGAAACAATGATCCTATCGATCTCAACACTACATCGAACAAGATTATTTTCAATCGACTCATTCCAACTCTCTATTCCATGTTTTCAATGGAGTTAAAAACTTTGGAGATGAGCAGAAGAAAGAATCCAATCCAAACCACGTGGGACTTGATATTGACCATTCAACAACAACAGGCTCTCGATGAACATGAGAATGTACAAAATTCTCTTCATCGTCATCATCACTCTGCCAGTTCATTAGAAACGACCATCCATAACGTGAATGACACACTCAAGCAACAATTAGAATTTATCAAAAAGAAAAAGACATTCACACCAGTGGAATTGTCCAAGATCAAATTCAAGTCTTTGATTTGTTATGGCTTGTCACACAAGATATTAGACAAGGTTTTAACACAGATCTTTTCACAGAGTCAAATTCTTGCACAACATGTGAAAAACCATTCGTTGATTTTATCCGTGCCAGTTCAGAATAGCATCATTTCGGGAATTGTTTCACTTCAGGAAGCTCACGTGTTCACTTTTGCATTATCGGAACCACTTTTTGCACCTTAAATTGTAGTAGTAAAACGATATTACCGGTTTTTTTCAAAGTGACTGGATTGTGATGAACAAATCGATGAATTCATTTACCTTGTTCTTACCATCACGAAGAAAGTTTACAAAACCGTTACATAATTATTTCAAAAATATTTAACTTCAAAAATTAGCCGTTACACAATTATTTTCAAAATATTTAATTACTCTCTTGTTTCATAAAACAACTTCAAAAAAAACAACACAACACCTACGAATACATCAATCAACAATGGCAAGAACCAAGCAAACCGCAAGAAAGTCCACAGGAGGTAAGGCTCCACGTAAGCAATTGGCCTCCAAAGCAGCCAGAAAATCCGCCAAGCAACCATCGACAGGAGGTTTGAAGAAGCCACACAGATACAAGCCAGGTACCGTCGCTTTGAGAGAAATCAGAAAGTATCAAAAGAGTACTGAATTGTTGATCCGTAAATTACCATTCCAACGATTGGTCAGAGAAATTGCTCAAGACTACAAGTCGGATTTGAGATTCCAATCCAACGCTGTGTTGGCTTTGCAAGAAGCTTCCGAGGCTTATTTGGTCAGTTTGTTTGAAGATACCAACTTGTGCGCAATCCATGCTAAGAGAGTTACCATCATGCCAAAGGATATGCAATTGGCTAGAAGAATTAGAGGAGAGAGAACATAAGTAACTTTCATGTACATAGAGATTCGTTGAGGTGAGTCCTTGTTTTTAACTATCCCCTTTTTTATTTGAATGACAATATTCTTCGTGGTGCCATGTCAAACATTGTATGCATGGCACCATTAATAATGGCCATCATTTTGATTAGATTTCAAAACATCCCTAGAAACCTAAGCCTACCTGTAACAATTATTTATTAAACTTATATTTCACGAAAACTTGAACATTCTTTTGCAATATATTAATTTCCACAACAAAAATATGAGCTTCGGTTTCGGTTTTAACCCTCCCAATGTGAGTCCCTTTTCTTCCAGCAACAATAATAATGTTTCTGACAACAATAACAATCGGAGCTCGCCGTTTCCTTCTGGTTTTTCTTTTGGCAATCCTTCTTCTGCCGGAGTTAGACAACAGAACAATACAACAATAAGCTCCGATTCACAACAAAATAATAGCCCAGCCTTTGATGAGAAAAGTAACAAAACTTCATTCTTTACTTTTGGCTCATCATCATCATCCTCTACATTTCCACCACCGTCTGATCCTTTTCCGAAAATTCATGACGAAATTGAAAGTTTAACGAAATTAATCCGATCAGCAGAATCATCCACAAAGGCAAACAATGAAGAGCTGCAGAAATTGAGAAAGGAAAACGAAGCACTCAAAGAGGAAATTGAAATGTCCAAAAGCGCACTTTCGAAATCAAAATTGCTTCCAGAAGATTTAGAGATTGCAACCCTGAACACTCTTCGACAAGTTAAAATGAATTTAATAGAATCACAAAAACTAGTTTTAGAAAGAGAAATGGAATTAATAGAATCTGATCACTTTTGTTCGTGCTGTTTGGCATCAAAGAAGAATGTGGTATTTCTGCCTTGCTGCCATTTGTGCACTTGTGAGAAATGCTCCTTCAAATTGACTGCATGCCCTCTCTGTAGGAAAAATATTGAAAAGAAAATTGTCACACACAATTAATGTATCGATGAGATGCTTCCATTCCACTCACTCTTACTCTAACAATTCTTTTTGAATATTTAACAGGAGAATCCTTATCGAGCTCAGTTGTTGAGGTCAATACACACCACGAAAGAAATATATCTTGTAAATCTGATTTGTCTCCATCCTAACCTCCTTGACATGTTCATCAGGCAAAGTTTACTATTGATATAGAGAGCCTTATGACGCTTTTGGCATCAATGAAATCATTGAAAAAATTATTTCGTCATCATTCCAGCACATCATTCTTTTTGTTATCTTTACCAAAAACACGCAGTGAAAGCTCCGTTATTCACTCTTTCAATTATTATTATTATCGAAAAAAGTTCAATGAATTGGTTCTTACATTGAATCATCACATCGCAACACGTGTTCAGAACAACAACTTCTTGAAGTCCATTCCATTTTCATCATTCAAGTGCTGAATTAATTAATATCAGCTCCTTTTCGTCATCATCATCACCTTCATCAGGCAAATCACTTTTCATCACCACCTTTCTCTTCTTTATGAAATCAACCTTTCGGAAATTACTTGTCCATTCTAGTAGTAGTAGTACAAACAGCATCAACAACAGTTTGAAACGTTCCTCTTCTTCTTCTTTCAATAATTATTTATTTACAAATTGCAATTTCAACAAGCCTCATCTGGCTGAGAGTTTAGCCTCATCATCAAATTTCGTTTTCCTCTTCTCTTCTTCTTTAACGACGACCTCCTCTTCCATAGCCTCTTTTCATCATCATTGTCAAAACAACATCAGCAACAATAACGAGGACAAAAACACCATGTCATCCCATCTACAAGAACAACAACACAAATTATTGAACATCAATGATGGTCATCATGATCTTGCACACGAAAAAACCTATGAAAATGCTTTGAAAATTTTGGATTCTCTCATTTCAAGAAAAGTAACATCCGATGTGGGAGGTCAAGAACAAAATCTTGAAATTACATCTAGTTGCTTACGGAAGATTGGAATTGATATTACAAAACTTCCAATGATTCATGTCGCAGGTACAAAAGGAAAAGGAAGTACTTGTGCATTCTGTGAAAGCATTTTGCGAAAGAATGGATTGAAAACGGGACTTTTCACATCACCTCATCTGATCGATATTCGAGAACGTATTCGTATCAATGGTGCTCCAGTGTCTACAGAATTATTTGGATCTGCATTTTGGGAGTGTTATGACAAACTCTGTCAATCATCACTCGGTGAGAAAGATCTCATTGCAAAAACAACTTATTTTCGATTATTGGTTGTTCTTGCCTTCAAGATTTTTGTAGATGCAGGTGTGGATGTGGCTATTATTGAGGTTGGAATTGGAGGGCGATATGATGCTACAAATATCATTCATCCAGTGGTGTGTGGAATTAGCTCAATTGGTTATGACCACATGGAAATTTTAGGAAATAGTCTTTATGAAATTGCCATGCAAAAAGCAGGTATCATGAAAAAATATGTTCCATGCATTACGTATCCTCAGAGAGAAGAAGCTATGGATGCCTTTGTCAAGTCGTCGCAAGAATCAGGATCTCCACTGTATATGTGTCCATCCATTGAAGATTACGAGAGAGTTTTGAGTGAGGATGGAAAAATTCAAAGACTAGAGTTAGGATTGAAGGGAGAACATCAACGATGGAATGCATCATTGGCCATAGCTTTAGCGTTTGCATTTATGGAAAGAACAAATAGACATGGTAAATTAGAAATTCCTTCCTTCTCACCTCTTGAAGAGAGTATTGCAATTGAGAAATTTAAAAACAAATTGAGAGGAGAGGATGTCACATCAAATAGGCCCTCAAAAATTGTCTCAAACGTTCCATCTTCCCTTCTAAATTCTAATATGGCACATATTCGAAACACTCAACATGTGGAAACATTTTTACCATTTCATCTCTCAGAAGCATACATCAATGGATTGAGAGAATGCAAGTGGCCTGGCAGATGTCAGGTACTCTCTTTCCCTGGCCTTAGTTTTTATATTGACGGAGCTCATACCGATGAAAGTTTGGATTTGTGTCGAAAATGGTTTGTGAGTTGCATGGAAAAGAATCAGGTCAGTCAACAACTTGATGACAATTACTACTTTTCGAGTGATAATGAAGAAAATGCTTCATTGACATCAGAACGAAGACGGCAAGCTCAAAATGCTGCCACTACAAGTACTCACAAGAAGATACTTGTGTTCAATTTTACAGGACCAAGAGATCCCAAAAAGTTGTTGGCACCTCTTTCAAAATCCAAAGATTTGTTTGATTATGTGATCTTTTGTCCAACCGACTCTGTGAAAAACAGTCTCAACAAACACCATACCACCATTTCAAAACAAGAAGAAGAAAAATTGAATCTTTTACGACAAACTTGGTGCGATTTAACAAACAAAAGTGACAACATTCTCCTATTCCACTCTATTAATGAAGTATTAGAGTTTTTATGGGATATGAAATCCGAGAAGGTTTCTGTTTTGGCCACAGGCTCCATTTATTTGATTGGTGATTTCAGTAGAAAATTACACAAGATTTACAAGGCCATCTCGAAAGGTAACACGAGCAACAGCAAATAACAAAGAAGAATCAGTGCTACCACCACACAATGGAATTGTGTCCTAGATGTCAATAATTAGAACATTGCTTCGGTTTTGATTGCTCCAAATAAAACTAAGAATGAACTATTGTAATATTAGTATTTAATGTATCAGGTAAGAACATGACAAGACTTCAAGTCACAATGATGCAAGAGAATCCCTTTCACCCGAAACAGAAAGGTCAGCTTGAAAAACGAATTCAATAAGACCTCCTTTTAGAGGATAATCGGTTGACTGGAGACCGCATTAGGTCCATACCAGACCTCACCAATTATTTTTAGTTTCCAAGTTGCTTAATTCCTTTTCGCTTTCTAATTCCACACACAAGAGGAAGTGGAGCTGGTTGAAATTTGAACAGTTGATGAATGACGTTTGAGTAATATTTGGGAATTAAGTTATTTATTAGGAATTGTTGTTTCTGAGCTCACGATTTCTGAGCTAACTTGTCATGAGCTAGTTTCAGATCTAGTCACTTTCTTCATCATGTGGAATAATTCCTCTAAACAGCTTTCGTTGCACATAGGTCCAACTCGAAGCAATCCATTCGAAGGGTTTCAAATCAAACTCATTACTCTTCAAAAGATCTTGATGTTCCATATCGAATTCAAACCATGAAAAGAATTTAAAAGAAAATTCATTCATGGACGACGAACTTGCACCAGAAAGTGGATACATGTGTGGACGTTCATTCATTCTCAAAGGTTGATCCACTTGTTCTTCTGCATAGAATGAAGAAGCTGAAACAGAACGAGATACAACTTTTTCTTGTCCATCCATTTGTTGTTCTTCTTGATCACGTGTGAAATCATTTAGTTCTTGCTGTTGTTCTTGGTCTCGTGTGAAACCCATGACAACATTCATTCTTCTTCGTTCTTTTTCTTCACAATACAAATGCAATTGATAATGATACACCATACATAGCAGCACTGTAATGATGCATGCCACCACCACATCGGCCGTATAATGTTCCTTGGACCACACAATGCAAAACAAACCCAAAGCACAACTTGAAAGCAACACCACCACCAACACTCTTCTCATCCAAACCCAAATCTTTCTTGCCATTTTGGAGGATCTAGTTGTTGTTGAAGAGAAGGGAGACCATGATGTTGCTGATGAGTGATGATTCTGATTTCGACCATTCAAGGAAGAAGAAGAAGACGACCAAGGATGAAAATACTTCACCGATGAATAATATAAAACAAAAAAGGTACACAATGTCAAGGCACAGGTATGTCCTGAAAACATGTAATCTCCACAAGTGTAACCAAGTAGAGCTTTCTGATCATTTGAGGAGGAGGATGTTGTTACTGCTGCTGCTGAGTGTGAGTGGTGGTGATGTTGTTGTTGTTGTTGTGAAGAAGATGAATGAATGAGAAAACCTTCCATTCCATTTCTTCCTTCTTGCATCATTGAAGTCATTATAGAAGAGAGCATTTGTAACGCATGAGTACTACTACTTCCACGACTACTACTACTACTTCCATCCATGGATTGAGAATAATGTGAAGAAGAAGAACCTCTCTTTGAAGTTCCAAACAATCGCTCAAACGTTGTCATTTGCTGCAAGGAATAGCATCGAGAAATATCATGTGGATTTGGAATACTCAACATGGTACTCGACATGGTCATCAGCCTAAGCAACAACAAGATTCCATCCAACACAATGAATCGAACCACAATATTGAATCGATGGGTTCGATTAAAGAAGGACAAGAGGACCATCAAAAGGGCCATCACGACCGTCATGGTTTCCGTGATTTTGAATGCCTCAGGGAATGCTGTCTGAATGCGATCGAGAAGGACATCATGAAGAGGCCTCTGAGACAAATCGACAGCAGGAACGAGAGAATGCATAGTGATGAAACGTGTCAGAAAGGATGAAGAGAAAAAGAAGGTAAAGGCAAGGATGAAACGTAATAATGGATAGAGAAGGGTGTATTTGTGTTTGTGGAACATTTTCGAGAGAAAAGAAGAAGAAGAAGAGGAGGAGGACAACCATGAGGAGATGGATGGTTGTTGTTCTTGTTGAAGCATGATGAGAAGTGGTTCCTGCTGAGTGTAATTGCAACTATTGCTAATACTGGTAGTACTACTAGTACTACTACAACTCGTGGTGCTGCTGCAATAGTCGAAAGAAGATGATGACGAGGAATCATGTGGAAGATGGGAGGAAGAAGAAACAGTACCCAAAGTAGAAGAAGAAGATAAATGTGAGTCTGATGATGACGATGAGGAATGGAAGGTTCGTCCATAGAGAGGAGGACCACCACTACTACTTCTACTGCTATTGCTACTACTACTCAAAGAAGGAGTGTTGGGAATGGAAGAGACATCTGGTTGAATACTCAATACTTGAATGCTGAAACTAGTGGTGTCATTATTCATTTGGTTCATTGTGTTCTTGTTGTTGGTATTGTTGGTATTGTTATTGCAATGGATGGAAGAAGAAGAACAACCATTCAAAGATGTTGAAAGAAGAGGCAACGAGGATGATCTTGTTGAAATAAAAGTAGAAGTGGCGGAAATTGGCTCCATTTCTGGATTTCTCTCTTCTTCCATTTGTGATGAACATGATGCATCATCATGGAAGGGTTCTTGTTGTTCACTGGGGTGGCCATTCTCAGAAGAAGAGATGAAATGAGGAGGCCAAGAGGGAAACAAGTGGAGTTTTTGACTCGTCGACAAGGTTGTTGATGATGGCATGAGCGTGGTGTATTGTTGTTGTTCTTGTTGTTGTTGTTGGTTTTAGGGTTTGGGTTTTTCGAACGTGAATCTTCACACACAATTGAGAGAGAGTTGTTGTTGACTTTAAAAGATGTCAAAATTCTGTGTGAGGTCTCATATTCATACGACGGTCCTGCTGTCGTATTCTGTTCTGGAATTGCCCTCTCTCTTATTTCGAGCTTCTTGACTCTCCTCTCGTGTGTCGTCGTATTGACTGTTTTTTTGAGATGCTTTTTTCATAATTGGAGGACATTAATGTCACACCAAAAACAACGTTGTGTTGCTTTGACTCCAAGCAGCCGCCTGACACACTCCGGCAATCCATAAGATCGAATTGGAGTCGCCTTGCTGCTGGGAGGATTTTGCTCATGTCGCTTGTCATTGTACTTGCGACCACTCGAGGTGCAACGTTGAAAGCGGGTTTACGGAACTATCCGATTTCGGATTAAGCGCATATTAAGGAAAGAAGGCGTGATGTGTGTGTGAGAGTTGGCTGACTTGCGAAAAAAGAGAGCAACATGAAGAGTTCAAAGCAGAGTGCATTGAAAAGGAATTTAGGAGAAGAAACGGTTGTTGGTGTGTGTGGAAAAAAAAGTTTGATTCGCATCCTTACCTAAAATGGAAATGACAGAAGCAGGTGGAACTTGAAACCCAAGATATTTTTGGAATCCATTCAACAGATTATTATTGCACCTTGCACACATTGTAATCGTGTCTCTCATACGCATGCTCATCCAAAGCTTTGAAAACTCCCTCTCGCATCACGCAAGCGAAACACTTCATTCCTACCATAGAATGTTAATACCCAACCCAATTTGGCTTCTCATTCGATGGATGTTGGGTGATTCAAAAACGATGCGGAAACACCACTTCATCGACAATCTACAGTTTTGGGCAATGCCAAATATTTCGGGTGTATCGATGGTGCAATAATATCATGAATGTTTGCACAATATTATTATTAAATTAATATGTTAATTATATGATTATTAATTTAATATCAAAAAAAAATCTAATTAGTTTATTGTTAGCACCACTGGTGCTGGTAAATCCGTGAGGATTGGGGTTTGTTTTTGAATTGGTTTTTTAAACCTTGAGTTTTCATAATACTTGGTGTGACATTTACCAACTAGTAGGGTGAGAATTGTTTGGATTTCAGGCCAATTTTGGTAAATATTTGGTGAATTTTTAAAGTTGGGCATTTGAGTATCTCGAATCATTACTCCGTCATGATGAATAATGAAAACTTTCCTTCTTTCACAGTATCTTGATTCTTGATAATCGTTGAGGATACATTGCATTGATGTAATATCTAGGAATTTAGTGTAGAAAAAATCCCTAAAGCATTGAGTATTAGGGCAATAGTATATGAAATGTTTTAGAGTTCCGGGGCATTTACAGTGAGCGCATTGTCTTTCCTTATGTTGTTTGATATGGTTGCTTGTTAAGTTTCTCCAGATTGACCACTTAGTATTTGTGTCAATTTTAGATTTGATGAATTTTAGATTGATAGATGACCAGTTCTTGGTAAGGTGTAGACTGGAATTATCTCTATCAAATTGGCTAAACATTACATCATATCTTTTCTTTTGTATGGATTTTTTGATGTCGAAAATAATGGTATTAGATGTGGCAAGGATGGTTTGGTTCGAAAATAGCTTCTTAATGTCAAAATAGTTGTGCTCTTGAGCTCCTTTCTTAGCTAATTCGTCAGCTTTGATGTTTCCTTTGTTGACATGACCTTTAACTTTGATTAGTTGAATATTTAGATTGGATTGTTGAATGACCTGTTGATATTCATGCTTGAAGCAGTTAAAAATTCCGTTATAGGCTTTGTTTTTCAAAACGTGGATGGATATTTCACTATCTGTGTGAATTTTTGCCTTAGATTTAGGTGGAAGTATCTTTAGTGATGTGAGTATTGCTGATAATTCAGCAACGTTATGTGAGTATTCGCTGTTAATTTTGTATGAGAAATCTTGGGTTTCTTGGGAATTGTTAACTTTGGCGGTAAAGCCGAAACCTGTTGAGTTGTTGAGATTTGATCCGTCAGTGTAAATAGTAAAATTCTTTCCTTTGAGTTTTGGAAAGATTTCGTCATTGTTAAATTGTTGAGGTCTGATCTTGTATTTCTTCATTGATCTGTTCATTTCCTTAAAAATCGAATTTTCGTGTTTGATTCCTTCTGAATATACTTCTCTAAGAAGTTCATTATCATTGTTAATAAGATACAGGGCTGTTTTGATTCGAATTTCATCTGCAAAGATATCGAATCTTGGAATACCAAGTCCGCCATAGGTGATTGGGAGGTGAAAATAGTTTGTTGGACTAGCATTATGCATGAAAATTTTCTTATTGCTTTTCTTACTTCAATGTTAATTCTATCAACAAGTGATTCAGGAATGTAATTTGTTCGTAAAATGTGTGTAAATAAGCTAGTGCATTTGGCAAAAATTACTTTCTTAATGTTTGTTATCTCCATTCTTTTCAGTGGAATATATTTGAGTGAGAGTTGAAATTGGAGGATTCTTTTTTCAATATCTTCATTTAAAGTAGAGTCATCCCAAGGATAGTGTCCAAGTACTCGAAGGTTTTTGAATCTTGGTATAATAGTACCGTCTATCATTGGCTTCATTTTGCTTTTAGTTGGGAGAGTGGTTGCCATGGATTTTGAAGGATTAATTTTTAGACTTAATTGGCCGAGCCATTTAGAGATATTATCAAGTCTTTCGTTATAATTGCAGTATCTGTTTGAAACTAAATTAATGTCATCAGCAAAGCAGAGCAAACCAATATCGTTAATATTAAGCTTGGTTGGTTTGATTGAAATTTTCCATTGTTGTATGCATTTGTCAATGATGAGTTGAGTAATACAATCATATATAAGAGGAGCTAAAGGGCATCCTTGTGGTATTCCTCTTGTTTTTGTGAATGGTCTAGAGAAATGGTGATCAATTTCTAGCTGTAATATTTGACTCTTGTATGAGTTTAGTATAAAAGTTTTCAACTCATCTGGAAACTTACAATGAGTGAGAGCTTTTTCAATGATATGATCTTCAACGGAATCATAGGCGCCTTCGATGTCTAAGTTTACCAAAAGGAATGACGACTTGTTCTTTTTGGCTAGAGATGAAAGTAATAATCCGTGATTCATTGTGTTTCTGTGTGAAATAAATGCTTGTTGCCTTAAGTTGATGTGTTTGGAAGCCCATTGTCTTAATTCGTATGCAATTATGTTGAAAAGTATTCTGTAATATATTGGGAGAATGGTTATGGGTCTAATATCATTTAGTTTTTGAATGTCTCTTTTAGGGAGTAATTTAACCCAACCAGATTTCCATTCTTCAGGGATATTACCTTGTTGAATGCAGTTTTCAAATTGGTCAGCAATAAGTTGTAGATGTTCGTCTTTGAGATTACGTATAATTTGGAAGGATATTGAGTCTAGACCGGGTGTGTTGGATTTCATTCTCGATATCGCCTCTTTAATTGTTTTAAGGCTTATTTGTGGTATTTTCGGTCCTTTCTTGACGGTTGATGGTGGATTTTCAAAGTCTGATGATTTGGATACTGAGGTAAATTTTGTTTCAAAATGATGCACAATTTCTTCTTCAGAGAATTGGATATTTTTCCAATCTATTGATTTTTCTTTTAGATGTTTGTCAAACTGGTAAATCATTGAGCTGTCATGTTTGTTGAAATTTTCACTTAGTTTTGCTTTGATATCAGCTCCAGTTTCCTTGTATAGTACTTTGATATTATTTCTTAGTTTTTCAATTTCCTCGATATTTTGACCTTTTCCTTGTGTTACAAGATGGAGGAGTTCTATTTCTTTGGTTTTGATTTCTTTCTTATTGATTGTGTTAATGTATTTGAGATTGGTCTTATCGTCTTTGAAAGAAAATTTGTTAACCATTTCTGATATGTCTTTCTGAAGTGCATCAAATGAATCATAGTGTGATTCGTTCAATGTTGTTGAGATTTGATTCATATCTTTCCTAGAGATGAAGTTTCTCCAACAATAGTCTGTTTCGAACTCAATGTCAATATAGAACGGTAGATGATCATTTTTGGATATTGGTGGTAAAATAACTTCTCTGATTATTCTGATGTTGTTAGAAACGAAGATATGATCAGGTCGTGATTTTGAACTGAGTTGATGACTTTTCTGACGTATGTGTAATTCTCTGGGATGATTAGTTCTTTGAGTTGGAAACACTCAATAAGTTCTTTCCATTCTTTTTCTCTCGAATTTTGTGGTTTCCTTGTGTTGATATTGAAATCTCCTAGCACAATGTTGAATTCATTTTCACATTTTAGTAGAAGGTGAATAATAATGTTGATTATTTCATCATCATCTTCACCATCAGATGAAGCATAAACCGTAATGATGTTAATAGGTTTGTTTCTAGAGAAAAACCTTGTCCATTGAAGTTTTCCTTGTATTAGATTTTCGTTGGATATGAATCGTTTTCTTTTGTTGTTAAGAATATGGAAGAGAGCTGTTCCCTTTTGAGCTTTTCTTGCTCCAAATAGTGAATTAAAGAAGATACTTCCATTCCCTTTGTTATAGGCTTCTTTTTGATCTTCATATGTTTTTAAGTGTGTTTCAGTAATTGACATGATTTGGATGTTATGATTGTAGCACATCCCTTTGATTTCATTTGTCAATATTTCTTTTGTGGCTGTCTTTATGAGCCCGTTGCAGTTAAAACAGCCAATTTTCAAATTACATTTTGGTGACTTAATTGTTCTTATTTCCAAGAGGTTTATCACCTCTTCTAGGTTCTACTATATCTTCTTCTTCGTCATATTCCATTTCATCATCACTATTTTCATTTGGTTTTGGGTGATAAGATTCATCATCTTCATCTTCTACATCATCCTTGGATTCATGAATTAATTGATGGTACGGTTTTGTCAAATGTAATTCAATATTTTCCATTTTGGAAGCTATTTCGTTGAGTTTTTCAAAAATGGTCTGTATGGATTTTGTGTGGTCTGTTAGTGTATTGGTGATGTTTTGTATTTGTTTAGAATGTGATTCCAGTTTGATTGAGTTTTCAGTACATTCTACTTGAAGTGATTTGTGATTCTTTTCTAATGCTGAGAGGTCATTATTGAATTGGAAATTATTGGTTGCACCAGTCACTTCGTTTTCTTGTTGTTTTTTGAATTTTTCTACCAAATATTTGGTTGTAGATATGAGTTTTTTTGAGGTTGGTTTTGTGCCATTTGGTGGAGTGATACTTGTTGGGAATTTTGTAATTTTTTCCAATTCTGCAACATTAGTTGCTTTGTAATTGGCTATATAATAATGCTCTCCAGGGCGATATGGGCTAGGTTTGTTAATAATCTCTAAGTGGTTTGATTGGAAGACACAGTTGCTTTTTTCCACCATCTTTTGTATCGCAGTTTTGATATTTTTCTCTGTGTAGAGGGATGAAAATTGCAAGAGCAGTTAAGCTTAGATTCTGTTATGATCTGGTCAATGGATCGGTATTCAGAATATTTCCTTGCCATAAAATATTCTTTATCTTCAAGAGATTCAACTGCTATTCTGATTTTATAAAGCTTTTGGACTCTGTCATAACTGGTATTAGTTTCTTTAATTCCATTAGTTCTTTTCCAAAAATTTTTGATAATGTGTGTAGTATACTTCATCATCTCGTCATATGATGAAGTATGATATTTGAGGGTGTGTTCAGCTGGTGAGAAATTCATAGGAGTCACAACGTATTTGAATGGACTGGAGTCTCTTGTTGATTGTGAGTTTAAAATTCCCAAGGTTGATACATAATCTTCATGATTGTTACAGACAAGTTGGAGTACATGCGTCTTGTCGTTAGGTATGTACCATGATGTAAGTTTTTCTTTGACTGCATCTGTAATAAATTCAGTGATGTCTGAGTCGATATGCTTACTGAGGTAAATAGATACACAGTGAGAATAGTTAATTGTTTTAGCTCTTTTAGCAGGAGGGTACATGGTTGTTGTTGTATTGTAGGATTTGATTTGCGGAGTTTTTTTTGTTGGATCAAATGTAATGTTCTTGGCTGTCTTGGCTATTTGCAAGTATGACGATTGCGATTCATTCAGGTTGAAGCTGGTGTTGATAGGTGGGCTCTTAGATTGAAGCTGGGGTTGACTTTGGGGCTTTGAAGTTGTTTCAATTGGTTTGATGAGGTTTGTGCTTGTTTCAATTGGTTTGGTGAGGTTTGTGTTGGTGATGAAGTTTGTTGTCTTATTTTGATTGTTGATTTTCGATTTGTTTGTTGGATGTGTAATATTTTTGTTTTTAGATATTTGGTTTGATGGTCCATCAGTTCGATAAGGATGTGCAGGGGATGGAGTTTGTTCTATGAGTGTTGTTTTTGGAGGAAGAGGTTGTTTAGGTTTAATTGGTTGGTTGCTGTCGGAGACTAATTTAACTGACTTTACCTTTTGTTTCCGATTATTGATGTGGTTAGATAATCCGTCCAATGTTTTTGAGAAATTCTCAATATGTTTAAAGATGATTCCGAAAGCTTCTGAGTGGGTCATCAATGTTTGGTTGATACTATTCATTACAACGTCTTCATTTGTGTTCATTTTTTTTGCGTCATAATATCAAAAAAAAATGATCCACCTTTCACAGCCTCAACATGCGTTTACTCTTGTTTCCGAGATGAAACAATTCTTACTTGGAAAGGTTGGAAAGACCAATGCTGTGAATCTAGGTACTAATGGACGAGAGGAGATTGAAGAGTTTGAATATGTGTCTAATAGTCATCATTTGGAAGGAAAATCATTTTCGGAATTGGTTAAAATTATATGTGATCATGTTTCATTATTTTCTGATTCGGATATCAAGAGATTGGTGATTCCATATATTATTTTGTTTAAAAAGAAGAAGGGAACAAGCCTTGTAGAACGGTTTTGTTATATGGTGGATTTTATTTGTTCGCATCGACATTTTCCGATTATTATTTCTAATTTATTAATACCATTGTTGAATAAGAGGAGTTTTTATGAAGGTTGTTTGAGAGACTGCTTTGAATCATCTAAAACAAGTGATCAGCATGGAAGAAGTAATATTGAACATGAATCATTGGTGAAAGTGTTAACAACACTGCACGAAAAGGTCACGACATTGTACTTTTCAAACCATAGTGTAAATACCGCACAAAATACGAACAATGAGGATGCAATGAAAAATAGTGTGATTGTAGAATTACTCGATCAGGCATCTCAAGCAAGCATTTACAGAGAGAATGAAATGAACAAGGAAAATATTTTTGCGCGTACTAATTCCTCTCTCTGGAGACTTCCTTCTTTTTTCAACTCTGAGCAGTATATCAAACATATCATATACTCACTAGATTTCACCGCTACGCAAAAAGAAAGCTTTAAGGATGAGGATGATAACAATGAGTCATCTTTTCATTCATACAATATTACACTCTTGTCTGACGTGATTACACAATTCAACAAGAGAGGCTACATGTCCATTTATTGTGACATTCTTGTGGATTGGTATTGGAAGTCTCATAACTGTCTATCATCATTTTTCTCATCAATGGAACAGAAAAACAATATGCATGCACTAATTAAGGAATTTTTGTTAAAAATTCTTTCCACTGAAATATCGAAAGAAGATTACGAACATTTGGTTAATTTTATTTCCAAGATGATGACCTCTTCTATTGTATGGTATGATTGCATGACAAATTCGATGATTCTCAAGTATGCATTTGCTGAGTTAGTTGTCAATAGACGTCGATACATTTTTGTGAAATTATTAATGGATGTCGCTTTGAAAACTGCTGAGAATTGTAAAGAAAAACCTTTGACAGCAGTAACAGATTTTATTAGTGCCACATGGAAGACTCACTTCTTCATCATGCAGTCCAATGTTGAACAGCAGCTATGTAAGTGTGTTTTTACTCAATGAATTTATTTCGCTAACACACAATTCCTCATTAATTCAATTGAACAACACAGTTGTATCGTATTGCCTTGCTGGATTAATCTCATTAATGACCAAACAAGAATTTGAAAATTCAGAGACACTTCGGAATTGCATTGAAGGCATACAACAACGATTGCACTCCTCAAGCTCCCATTTAAGAATGAGTTGTTCTGTAAGTATATTCGAATTTTCATTTGATTGATTCGATGATTACTCATGAGGCATCTTTAGCTGATTTCTCTTCAAATGAGCAAGACAATCAATCCAAAGCAAAACCCATTGGTACTTTTCGATGATTTGAAAGATTGCCTCGATGAATTTCATAATCGTCTTTCTCAATGCATTTCTGCAAATGCTACTTCTTCACTCAAAAAACAAACGTATGGAGCGTCATCAATGGCATATGACAGCATGGATATGCAGGACAACAACAAACAACAAAACAAAGTACCATCCAAAAGAAAGGAAAAGAAAGCCTTCAATCCCAATGCATTGCTCATTGATGATGACGAGTCGTCAGAAGATACCAACGAAGATGACAATGAAGATGTTTCTGACACGTCCTCCGTCGAATCATTACAATCTCTCGAAATGTCTGATGATGAAGGAGGTAGAGGTGATGAAATGAATCCATACAAGCCATACTATGTGAGAGATTTGATTGATTTTCTCTTTGCCAATGATCAGGACAAAGATCAAATGCTAAAAATCGAAGCTGCCCTCAAGTATGCAGTTCCTGTCATTGAAATAACAGATCCAAAGATACTTCAACTCAATGCTGTTCATCTATGTACTGCTTTATTGACCTGCAGTGAAACTCATATTCAGAACTACTTTAAGTATCGAATGGATGCCATGGTTTCATTGTTGACAAAGAGTTGCATGTCCATTGTGGATTTACAGCATGACAAAAAAGATCAAAGATCCATTGATTTTGAAGATGAGACACTGCTGCTGTACCTCACAAATAAGTTTTGGTCGAACCAAGTCACTCAAGCTCAACGAATTGACATTTTGACAGTACTCGTTAAAACAGCCATCAATTTATCCAACAATTCTTCATTGGTTAGTCCTCAGGATCAAATCCTTTCATCACAACAGAAAAAGGAAGAACTCGAACAACAATCCTCACATCAACAAGAGCAGAGCAAGTCCTCTCTTGTTTCACCACAATATCCACCTAATACTAAAAGATGGGGATCGGCTCTTAACCCTTCGAAAAGAAAACAAACCGAGACACGTCCCAATTACTTTTTGCTTCACGCCAATCGATTTTACTACATGCTCTTGAGAACCAAATCAAGAGTTTCAGAGACTATTCATGTCATGTTTGGGGAAGATAATTTGGTACTCTCAAAGATTATTCATACATTGGGGGTTTTCTTGTTTTGCTGTGGCACTAATCCAGCGCCCTTAGTATCTCAACAATTAGGAAAAAATACTTTGGAGTTTTTGTGGACCTTAATTTTACATTGCAAAGATGTTTCCACATCTAATAATCTAAGATTGAGCGTACTAGGAACGTTGAATACAGCTATTTCATGCTGTACATCTAGCATTTTGCTTGAGGAGTTACTTGTGGATATTCATCAAGTATTTGATTGGCTCTTGAATATATCTGAAAATGATAGCCATTTAGAATGCAGAGAAATAGCCAAAATGGTCTTATCAACTCTGTCGTCTAAAATCAAGATTTAGAAATTATTCACAGTAAGAAAACGGGTGGATTCTTTGGTCAATCAAAATTGGAAATTAAGAATCTGAAGAAGAGAAATTTGATGCCTAAATGGCTGTACAGGCAAAAAACCGCACCACACATTATTGTTTCTTTTTTTTCAACTCGCTCAACTGATTACTTAGCATGGTTGTGAGCTCGAATTGATTTAGCAGGACAGTTTTGATATTTCCAATGGCTTCTCGAGATGACACTTTTTTCTTTGTTTCTGGAATAGTTCTCAAATCCTTTTTCACTTTCAATACTCGGTAGGGATTCTCTGTGGCGTACAAGACGGCTTCTTCTTCGTGGTGACTATTGTCACTTTGCTCTGGACTCGTCGAAGCAGCTCCCTCAAGGCAACTTCCTCGTGATAAGCTTCTCCTATTTTCAGATCGAATTAATTTTTCAACTTCCTCTGCCTTGAAAGCTCGTTGCAAGAATGGCCATCACTACACGATCATACTTACAATGATATTTTCCACTTCTTCCTCAATAGTTTGTGTCTTTTCTTCCACAAATGAGGATGACATACTGAGTGAGTTCGCTCCAGAACGAGACGTGAACAAAGACGGATTGCTTCTCATGGCATGCTCTTTTTGTTTTCTGTAGTAGGATCCGTCAAAAATTTCCTTCATGGATGGTTTCATACGAATTTTGGGACTTTTCTGTTTCGGCTCTGTAGAAACCTCAGGGAGAGTTTTTGGATGGAATTGTGACTTGCATTCTTCTTCGCTATGATGAATAAAACTGAACCGTTCATCCATCACCTCATCGGGCAGTGACGAATTTAAAATTTCTTGCTTTTCTTTTTCATCATTTATGTTCAACAAAGCCAGCAAATTCCAAAACATTCGTTCATCCAAATACTTTTCTGCTGCTTTAAACGTTTCATCCTCCTCAATGATCATGATTGCTTTCCAATTTTTCGATCAATGTAATTTTAATAATTTTTTTTTTAAAATCTCTTTCATTCCACGATCTCACTTTTTTTTCGTAAATTTGAATTGCGGGAAACATCCGTCTCCCGCCTCTCAAATAATCAAACGTCCAAATTTTGAAACTCATCACAACAAAAAAATATTTAACATCAATCCTCCACACGAATCTAAAATCATCATCCTCCACAATGCCCAAATTAACCCAAGAACAACTCTCTGATGCCCAAGATGCCTTCAACCTCTACGATAGAGATGGAGACGGAAAAATTACTTTGGCCGATCTTGGTACTTTGTTACGTTGCTGTGGAAAGAATCCAACCAATGCTGAAGTTGAGAATATCAAAGCAGAGGCTGATCCATCAGGCACAGGCTCATTCACTTTTGAAACATTGAAAACTCTTTTGGAAAAGTATACATTCAAGGCTGATAACGAACAAGATGTAAAGGATTGTTTCCGTATCTTTGATAAAGACGGAACTGGATTTGTACCAGTCTCTGAATTGAGACACGTTTTAACGACTTTGGGTGAGAAATTATCAGCAGCTGAAGTTGATGATTTGCTCCGTGATGCCGAAGTTGATGACAATGGTAATCTTAACTATGCTACTTTTGTTCATATGCTTATGCCAAGCAAGAATTAGGTTGTTGTTGATTGCCAATGATTAACCATTGACCATCAAATATATTTTCTCTCATGGAGAGGTTCTTTTTTCAATTATATATATATATATATTTGTACTCATTCCGTTCCTTTTAGGCCACCAAAGGATGAGCAACACTATTACTGCAATGAAGAGTTTCAAAGACGGATGATTTCATTTGTTTGCAATCATTAAAGTTGCAGTTTGTGTGATCCGAGTCGTGTCTCAACAACAAGCCTCTTTTATAATGTCAAATTCAAATCATTCTCTCGAGTTTGTACAAGGATTGGAAGGTGTGGATGAAAATTATATCATCAGCCATGAGGGAGGATCATGTGTACTTTGGATGTAGTATTGTCGTCCATTATTGAATTCACAGTCTTTGCATCATCATCATGATCAATCGATAGAATCTCTTTAACAGGTACCTCGTCCATCAATACTAAAATTGGCCGTTATGAATAGTAATAATAATAATAAAGACTCGAAAAAATGTCTGCAACTGCCTCATCATCATCAACTTTATCAGATCGGAATGGACGTGATGAAGAGGATGCATCTGGCAATTCCCGAGAGGAAACTAGATCTTCCTCCTCAAATGTTTCATCATCATCATCGACTGCACTGCCCAAAATCATACCATTCCCATACTTGATTTGCTTTGAAAATACATATTATTGGAAGGCTGCTTTTAATCATATCATTGGAAAATTGTACATTTCATTTGATTTTCTGTATTTTGAAGGACATGAATCGACCATGATCATTCATGGACGTAAGGGAAAGTTCTGCTGGATCGCTCACGCAGAGTTCATCCTCCACGGATGCATCTTCTTTGGCTGTAAATAATGTAAAAACAACAGAAAATTCGAAAAATAGATCCATCTCTATAGTTGTTTTATTTGAAAATATCAATTCTGTGGAACGTGAAAATTATTTATTGAATCCTTGTTTATGTGTGAAAACAAATTTGAATAATGGAGAGAAGGTATGTGTGACAAGTAGTGATCACCAAAATTGAACAATAATGAAAACCTACCATTATTCTTTTATTTCTTAACTATCATTTCTCTCCTATTGCAGCATTATTTCTATAAATTAGAAAGCATTACGAACTGTATTTCAATAATTGAGCATGCAAGTCAAATGTCACTCTCATGCCAACTTCGAAACAAATTAATCACACTGAAAGAAGAGAGGCCTGAAGTCAGACCTCATTCAAAACCAACAAAACAAAAGCCTTCCAAAAAGAAACCAACATCCACTACTGATGAAGATCTTTCCACTCGAGATAAAATTGAACGTGAAAAAGATGAAATGATCTTGCTGGCAAAACACACCAAGAGCATCAATCAAGATTCTCTTCAACAATTAACTTCTCAACAAAATGATCTGAAAGAAACGAAAGAAAAATATTTGGAACCCATGAACACCTACAATGCTCTTGGAAGTCGATTGTTGACAGGAATGTCATGGGGTGGATTCTTCAAAAATCTGTGGAGTTATTCGAATTGGAAAAAAATTGAAAAACAGGCTCTTTCCTTTCAGTCTGGAGAAACATCTGAAAAACAAAGAAGCTTAGATTTTGATGCCCATGCGTTTGAAATTTTGATTCGAAAGGGAGATACAAAACATTGTAAGTAATCATGCTTTTTGTGTCAGTCAAGTTTGAACTTTTGATATTTGCATGATTTTTTGACGGTGATCATGTGTCTCATACAGATACTGCATGCATTGCTGTGATGCGATCAAAAGTGATGGAAATTATTGATGACAGACAGAGCAGATACATTCAAGATTCGATCGAATATTCCAATTTGAGTGGATTGGAAGTGATAACTCCCTTTGTTTTCACTCTCATTTTCAAAACCACAAACACCACTCTCACAATATTGTCTGTATTTACGCCTTTCATTATTGACCACATCAAGAGCTGTAACAAGACAATTATTCCAATGGATGAAACTGGTTGTTTTCATTCTTCAAAATTTGATTTATTTTCCTTGTACTCTAAAAATTCTGTTCAACTTGTACACATTGCCATTGATTTGCTTCGAGACTATTTTCCCAAAGATTTGGAGGAGGAAACAAACAAGAAGGACGCAAAGTTAGATTACTTACTCGATATTGTCAATGATATTCACTCCGTTGCAAGTGTTACAAATAATGTTCTCTCTGAATCGCATCAATTTCTGGAAGATTTCGTGACGGATGTGCAGGGAGTGACGAGTGATGTTAACAAGAATACCAGAGTGATCAATAAGAAATTAGAATCGTCGTGGTTTTAGTTTTTTGCAATCATTAGGTGTCAATAAACAATTTTCGCTTCTCGCTCTCGAAAAAGATCAACAATCATATCCTTCTGCATTAAAAACCTACAAACGAGAAATGGATTTGATCCACAACGCTTAATTACATGAGGAATTTGAAACAACCAAAGCTTTTCGCTTTTTGCTACACGGCCCAACAACCCCCTTGTTTTTGCTTGATTTAATGGTTTTTTCTTGTTTTCCTCGAATTTTCACTTTTTAATGCACAGAGTCAACTGTGTTAGGGAAATTAATTCAACATCGATGTGCGAATTTGATCCAAATCATGAAACCATCAACAAGATTGATTTTTTGATTTGTTTCATTTTTGTCCTTTCATTCAACAGAGCAAAACTCAAAACTTGAAGAATTTGAAAAAATCAAAGCTTTTGGCATTTTAATGCACAGGCCCAACATCATTTCATCAAAATGGGAGTCTCTATTCGTTGGAAGGTAATGATTCTGAATTTGCGATTGTCTCACACAACAAACTGTCGAGAGCTGTTTTAAATCCAACCAGATAGTGATGAGAGAACATGAACCGTGACAACACAATTCTTCCAAATTGGTACATATCCACTCGTTGAATGGTGTAATCACGATTATTAGTTATCAAAGTTGCTGATTTTTGAGTGTGTATAAAGTTTTTCACATCCAATAAATGATCTTCGCTCGGTACAGATCCATTCTCATTGCCTTCTTCATAGCTTTTTCGTACCGTTTTATAAATCGTTTTCACAGTTGAAAATATCGAAGAGACCACTGATCCTGATTCTTCTTTTTCTTCAACTTTCTTTTCTGAGAATAACTGTTCATTAAATATTTCAAACAATGTCTCTGTCACATCCTTACTTGCTTGTTTCTCTGAATCTGGAATAATAAGAAAGAGTGAGCCGGGAGGATAGAGAGTATGTATTTCCTTATTGGCTTCATTCATTTCTTCTACCAATAATTCAATAGCTTCATTGGTCAATGGTGCTACTGCTGCTTCAACAGTGCTAATTTGTTCCTTTTGCGTATTGTTAGTATTATCATTATTCTTGTTGATATCACTAGCGTTGGCTGTGCATGTGGATTCAGTAGGATTGACATCCACTGTGGGAGATGATTGTTCAATGGAAAGATTGGCTTTTGATGATGATGTAATAAGAGTTTTTTTCGTCTGAAACAATGGTGAGTATCCCCATTTCACGAGATAGGTGTCCATAGTCACAGCAACATTGGCAATCTTCGAATGCTCATTAAAAAAGTTTTTCAGCTTCTCTTCCCATTTTGTTTCGTTAATTTCAAGACGTAATTTTTCCACTTTGTAATTTGAAAGGAAAAATTTTGAAATGTATGGTCACGACAAATCTTACGTGTTGTTTCAACATACCTTGACCCAAGCTAATTCTTGGAACAATGTCACCAGCAATAATGTAGCTTGTGACAAAAGATCGACACCAATTTGAGAGGTTTTCTGAAAAAACTGCACTGGATGCATAGGTTATGGCTTCAATATCAGGGAGGGAAGGTGCTTGTTGTTGTGACGAGGAACGTAAATGCGTTTCTTTCAATGATGCAAAATAGTCCTTATAACGTTTTAAAAATGTTTCTCTTAAAAGAATAGAGACTGTTTGGGAATGATCCGAAATTTTCAAATGATAATCATTCATTGTGGAAAGAGCATTAATTGTTGTGATCAAATTTTCAGTTCAATTTACAAATCATTCTTTCAAAATATGCATTCAACTTACGAACAGCTGCCAATCCTCCTCCCAACGAATGTCCTACCGTAATAATTCTATACGATTTGTAATCACTCGTATTCGAAAAGATATTATTCAGTAAAAAGTCTCGAATTTTTGACAAAATCCATCGAGCCGTATTAATATATCCTGCATGAACTTTTCCATGAATCATTTGCTCGTTATCATCTGATTCACAAAAATTTTCATGGTTGTTATTTTCCACATCAAAAGTAAAATCAGCAGTGTCAATAAGGTGCTCTCTTTTTTCAACCTTTCTCTTATAGTCACCATAGAATCGGTGAACTTTCAAGTCAGAATTTTCAGCACTCAAATTTGTGAAAATATCTGCCAATTGAGAAGTTCCTCGAATGGCAATAATCACTGTTTTCAAATCATGATCCATCTTTACAAAGAAAGCCTGTTGATTTGCTTCACTAATATTTACATAAAACAATAAATTAGTTTCATATCTTAACGATTCCAAATATTTGAGGGAATTGCTGGAATATTTTGGTTGTGGTGATGAAGAGAACCAGGATCTGCTTTGATTCAAACTTTCATAGCCCTCAAGAAGAGCTTTTTGTACTTTTGCTCTCTCGGTCTCATTGGCTACATTGTAATAGGCTAAATTTGCATAGTACAACATTCTTTTGGCAAATATTAACTGCTCTTGTAATAATGTATTGAGTTCATTGTCATGATGATGATGATTCAGAGTCGAGTGTTCATTCCACCACTTGTATTCTTCATCTGTTTCTTCCTCCCCGTTGGAACGGTTATAAAGAATTGGATTTCTCATCTCCTCTCCGATCACATCATTCTTGGAATGTTCATTCGCTAAACAACTCAATCCGAACACAATATCACCAATGGTGAGATGTTTATAGCTCGGAAAGCTTTCTTTCAAACATGCTGCTGTTGCTGTAATCATTTCCTTGTAAGAAAGTTTGGCATTGGTCTTATTTGCTTCGGGAACAATGTTCTTTCCAGAATTCTTTAAATAATTTTCATCATCGTGTGGATGGTGATGCACCGAGAGTTGTTGAGGCAACTCTTCGGGTGGTGGTGGTGCTGATGATGATGATGGTTCTGATGATGAAGAGGGATGAATCATCTTGTTCGTAAGGGTCTTTTTAATCTTCTTTGCAAACTTTTTAATTTTCCGAATCAATAAGTTGTGTCGTGGTGAGACCGTTGTGGATGTTCCTAATGTTGTTTTTGTGTTGTTGGTTGTTGTTTTTGGAGTAGCAACAGTTGTTCTTGTTGAGGAGGAGGAGGAAGAGGAGCAGCAGGAACACACGCCATGCGAAAACTTTGAAAATAAATCTTTTCTGTCACTCTTTGTTTTGTTCATCCTTAAAGTTATAATTTCCTTTTTTATTTACTTTACATTTATGCGAAAATTTCTAATCTTCAACGTTCTTGAAGATCATATGAACATGAATCGTTTTACGAGTTATGAGTTAAATTGCGTGGAGAATGGGTGCAACGCAACCCTCCAAAAACAAGAGCTCCAAAGGAGACTGATCTACAATAAGAGATCAAAGAATTGTGTCACCTGTCAAACGCCATCAATTCCATCAGGTCACATTTGCATGAACATATCTCCAGCAAATTTCCTGTAATACAACAAATTATCAACTCCAACTGCTAATACTCTATTCTACTCTGAAGATGACTCAAGCATTTCCTTATTGAGGGAAAAGAGAAGAAAATTGAGAGCTAAGAGAAGAGTCGAAAGAGAGAATCGAAGAATGAAAGAGGTTCAAAGTGGCGAGTCTGTCAAGAAGGCAACACCAAAACAAATACGAAAGGAACGTTTGAGATTGGCTCGAGAGGAAGAGAGAGGTGCCAGAGAAGGACTCGAACCTATCAATGACGCCGAGTTGGAAAGACTTGCAAGACAAGCAAGAAAGAGAAAGTTGGAAAAAAGAAGAACAATGAAACGCTCTTACAATAGAAACGGTGTTTCAGTCTCTCACAAGAAGAGAAGGGATGGATCGGTTGTTATTGTCATTAAATCCAAGTAAATGCGTGAATCAATTCTTTTCAATATATATTTTGTGATCCAATGCTGAAAGTTCAAAATATAATAAGAAGTAGGTCTATGATATTTACACTTTTTTAATGATTTGCCAATTTGAGACAATAATTTTTGTTGGAGTTAGAACTAGGTTTAATTAGCAGTTAGTTTGAAGTGTGATCATTGCCTCACAACCTCTGTTCTGTATGTTTGCATCAAGCAGCAACTCAATGCCTCAATTCATACGCTTTCTGTTCAAATTTGAAGGTAAAGCCAAAGCAATGTGCAAGTCATCTCTTTGTCGTACGGGTCGCAACAATCCATAGTCATTGTAAATCTTGTGTTCCTCTTCGATGTAGTCCAATGCTTCATGTTCTGTTTTTGTTAATGGAGTGGTCGACGTCGTATGATCAGAGACCATATTTTCCTTTATGCTCGAAGCGGATCTTTTGAAATGTTCTAAAATTGCCTCAATGGAATTCAGAGGTGCCAACGAGGATGATTTTTCTTCGGCAGCAGCATCAGAAACCACAACAACATTAGGTTGACCGATCGATTGCATTTTCATTCGAGGTGTTTTTTGTTTTTCCACCGCCACTCCTGAATGATGATGATGCATATTGGTTGAAATGGCACTGGGAAGAGAGGAGGAATGATGATGTTGGCCACAACTATTCAGGGGAGAATTAGGTAAACTGCACGGTGTACATGGTGTACCAACAGTTGTTGGGGAGGAAGGAATTGCCATTCCATGTTGTGGGGTGCACTTATCGAGGGATAATTGCTTCTTCTTTAATTTGAAGGCAGCAGGACTCATTAATTCTTCAGATGATTCTGAAAGGGAATTCAATGAATGACCAATGGTTGCCGGGTTGATTAATTTCTTGATTTGTTGCAACATTTTGTATGGGTTAGTAATGGGAAGGATGAAGAATCGGAAATACAAAAATTCAAATAAATAATTTCAAAGGCGTTTGGAAATAAACTGGTGAACTGAATAAACAGAAAGCAAGACCAAAATTTTAGATGCAACAGGATTGAGTCTCTTGGTTGCTAGACAACTTGGTTGATCAATATGCTGCTTGGTAAACAAAGATCGAGAGAGGCTTTTTTTTTCAAAGTCAATCAACGGGAAGTTTGGCTCAAATTGTAAATGTAACCGTTGTTGTAACGAAATTATATATTCAAATAGTATTTAAAAATATCTCGTTGGTATGAGGGTTGCAACACTTGGTGGTGATCTGTCGTTAGAGAGTGTATGTGAGTGGTGGAGAGAGAGGGAGTGTTTGTGTTTCAACTGTGAGTGCTGAAGCTCCGAGTGTTGAAATGTATTGCTCTTGTTGAGAATTTTGTTTTACAAAGATAATATTCACTCCCGCACGAATTTAAAAAGGTTTCAAAAGCTGTTGGGGTCCAAAGCGTTCGATAAGTTGCCATTTCTCTCAATACAGGACCACTTCAAGAGTTAGCCTTCTCCATTCAGATGATGAGGGTCGGTTGATTTAAGGAAAAGGGGTTACATAAATACAGTCGGAAAAGTTCTGTCTCTTGAAGAGAATTGGTATGTTAGCCCGATCTTTATTAAAGTCCGTCATTGGAAGCGAGATGACAAATGCAGAAGAGAGTTCATCTCAGAGACCACAGGTTTCAAACCTGGCGCAAGTTTGTCGTGTTGTATGACAATGAAGGTTTCCCACAGTGACTATACACCCTGAGATGCATTCAGAGTGAACTCATGAGTGGCAGTGAAAGGAGAAGTCTCTTGCATGAGTTTGTATACAACCAATTCATCACGTCGGATCCAACGAGCACTACTACTAATGAAAAAGAAGACTTGTCGTTTTCAGTCTGTTCTCTCGTTCTCTCCAATAGGACACTCTGTTTGCGAAGTTGATACAAGATTGACTTTGAAAATCATGAATGGATTTGACACTGAAAAGCAAAATTGCTATGTATACAGCCAGAAAGGTTCAGAAATATTGAGTTTGTGTGAGGGAACTTTCCAAGTCTTTCGTGTAGCGCTTCTTGGATTGGAATGAATTCGGTTTTGTTAAGGCTGGAGTGCGAACATGCTTTAAATTGCTCGAATGTTGATTTGCAAGTTGACGTTTCGTTTTTGAACCGGTCCATCCCACACACGCCGTTTTGAGATTTAAATTCTGGAAATAATAACAAGCTCGTTATATACCAAAATATACAATGATTGAAAAAGGAAGTTTATTACAAGGGTTCCAAAAACCTTAGAATTTGGGTTTAAAAAACCACAAACCCAAGGTAAACCGAATGATTTGAGGACACTTAAAGTGTCATCAATCTAATTTTTGTCACTGTAATTGCAAAGTTAATACGAACAAAAACGAGGGCAATGAGGATTTGTGCATCTCACCATTTGGCTTATTCATCGGAACATTGATGACTGACAGATCTGTAAAAAATGCCTCTTCTGCGAGCAAGGCTTTTTCTAGGACCAAGTCATCATCCAACTCAAAGCCTTTCTTCAATGAATTCCTATGAATGTTCACAAAACACACACCAAGGTCATAAACATCACTGCAGTTGTACAGATTATGTTCAACAGCATGATGACGATTTTCTATCTCTCCGATGGACTTCTTTCACTTGTCATCACTCGATAAATTTTTTTCGTGATAGACGACCTTCCACATTGTTGACAATATTTCAAAAACAAAGAAAGAGCTATTATGAGAGAAAAAACAACTCTTTATTCTTCTTTTTATTATTCATGTTGGTAGCAGTGTTATCATCATCTATTTCATTGTTTATTCAACGACACCAGGATAACATTTATTGCCACGCTCGGAAAAATTTACAAGATTTTTATGTCGGAGTTCAGGGAAGCTTACAACATATTGACACTGCACAACCAATATCTAAATTAGAAGCAATGAACAGAAGCAGGCCGTTTGGAAAAATCATTTGCCGGCAAAATATCACATACTCCTTTAATTTAACTTATTATGTTGGAAAATTGCAAACACAAAATCAATTTATGAACAGTCCCAATGATGAAGTGTGTGGCCTCTCGAGCCCATGCTCATCAATGAATGATGTTTTTGAGCATTTTTCCTCTCTACTATTGAAGGATATGGAAACCTACATTTGCTTACAGTACAATATGACTATTATAGTTATTAGCGACCTGATAGACAACAGTTTTGAATCTACTGCAAATTGCAGAAACACAGTCCCTGAAATACACCTAAATCACAACAATGTTAATGTGGACCTGACAGTCACGAGCCTTAATCGTGAAAAACCAAGCACTGTTACTTGTTTCTATGAGAATGATGGAGAGCGATTGTATTTCATAGAAGACCGCTCAGCAATAATACTTCTCTCTTTGTCACACATTACAATGCAAAACATGTATTTGAACCCGTTCACTATTCAACACTCAACGACCGTAAACAGCAATATTGACATGGCAAGAACAATGGACAATATTATTATTGAAAACTCGAAATTTTTAGAAAGTAGAATACAACTAACTAAAATATATAATGCTGAATTACGAAATCTGAAATTATCTGGAGGATTACTAATTGAACAATGCTCTCAAATATTAATTCAAAATCTAACATGTTTTGAGAGAGAAGGTGCTGACAGATTTTGTTTTTTACGTGTATCAACAGTGGATGATTTTATATTGAAGGAATCCAAACTACTCTTTGGAAAGAGAGGCAACGCTAATTTTCAATCAGTTGTTACCTTGTCCATCCTGAATAGCAATTTTGAGTACGTTTCAACATCTCCAACCGCTTCTCTGTTTAGTGAAAATGAAGACACTTCGGAGTATGTTGTTGAGGCTGATTTGGTATTTCAGCTCAACATTATGGAAACTACTTTTTCAAATCGAAATAATAGAAAAGGATGGCTGAAAGTTATTTCAGGAGGAACGATCTATTTTTCAGGCCTAAAAGTCGAAAACAACACATGTAAGACGCAAGGTGTATTCTTGCTCTACATTTGCCAATCGATTCGGATTTCTTACTCATCATTTTTGAATAATGTTGCAAATGTAGCAGGTGCAATTTCTGTGATCAATGTAAAAGATTTTACCATTTCAGACTCATCTTTTCACAATAACACTGCAATGACAGGCACAGGAGCTGTTGGAATCTTCGAAGCTGTTAATTCTCGTATTAACAAATGCAAATTTAGCAATAACACGTCCAACAATGGAGATGGAGGTGCCGTATCATTGATCAAATCAGTCATTTATTTCTCAGCAACTACCTTCATTGGAAATAGAGCTACTGTTTCAGGAGGGGCAATATATGCATACAATTCTTTGTTGTCAGAATTGCAATTTTGCACCTTTGAAGAAAATATGGTTTACTTTCAAGCTCCAAATGGCTCCTGTATTACAAAACCAACAGATGCTCAAGGAAGTGGAGGAGCAGTTGCACTACATGAAAGCACAGCAGACGTGTTTATTTTCAATTCATTTGTTCGTAACAAGGCAGCAAGAGGAGGAGCTGTTTTTGTATCGGGTGATATGATGTTTTCATTTACCAAGTTTGAGAATAATTTTGCATCTGTCGCTGGTGGTGCATGTTTTGTGACCAATAACGCCGTCATCAGGATGAAAAATGTTTCCATGATTGCAAATACAGCAACAATATATGGACCCGATATTTCAACACCTGTTGTGTATTTCTCTGAAATTGTGGAGACAATTCCACCAACAAAATCAAGAGACAAAATTGTTGTTTATCCAGGAGAGAGCTTTACTGTGAAATTTATGCAAATGTATGATCGATATAGCAATTATATTAAGAGTGTTAATGAGTGTCCCGTTTTATCACTCTCTGATCACAGGTTTCTGTTGGAATACAACTGGATACAACTAGATAGTAATATGATCACATTGACCATCACAATTGACCCAAGTATCGACATCGAATTGAGTAATAATGGAATAGAAAATATACTTCATATTAGATTCAGCGAGACCGATATTCATAACTTGACAATCCTTCTAACCTATTGCCCAACCGATTTTGTGATTAAGAATGGTAAATGTGCTCCAGGATTTCCGTTTAGCCAGGTTATTCCAGGAATCATTGCTGGATCTTTAGTATTTATGCTTATTGGAATAATTGTTGGCTCGTTTTTGTGCTCACTTTGTGCATTTGGGACATGGAGAGCATTTAAAAAGGCTCGAAGTATTTATGCAAGACAACGGTCAGAAAAAAGAAATTGAAGAGAAATTATTGACCTATGATGTTTCATATGGATCATTGAACTCTGACATTCATATTTCAAAAACATCAAACTATATTATTCCAGCAAGCGAGTTAAAATTTGAAAAGAAAATAGGAGAGGGCGCCAGTGGAAGGTAAGAGGATTTGTCACAATTAATCTGCGTGGTTTAAAATAATCAATTATTTATTTAATCTTACATCTCAGTGTTTATCAGGCTAAATATAACATGATCGATGTGGCAGTGAAATCAATTATACGAACAGAGGAGACGGATGAGATTTTTGAAAAAGAAGTCATGCTTTTAGTCCAGTTACGTCATCCCAATATTATTAGTTTTTATGGTATTTGCATTGGTGAGTCACAAATGTATATTGTTGTTGAGTTAGGAAAGAATGGTAGTCTAGAGCAATTAATCAATAATATGAAAAAAGGAAAAGTCAAAAAAACATTTAAAGAAAAGCTCAAAATATTGATCGGTGTGACTAATGGCATGAAATACTTACACGGACTAAATCCTCAATACCTAATTCATAGAGATTTGAAACCAGCAAACATCGTACTTGACCAATCGAATGTTCCAAAAGTAAGTATTGCTTGATATGGCTAATGAAATATCAACAACATGTGACATACTTATGAACGCAAGGTTTGTGACTTTGGGTAAGTAGAATCATTCACCACATCACCATTATTTATGTGTGATATTTCAAACAGCTTGAGCCGTATTGTCTCGAACTCTCCAACCAACTCCTTAACAGCAAATATTGGAACACTAATTTACATGTAAGTTTATTTAAGTTGAAAAGGATGTATCTTTTGGAATTCTTTAATAGGTGTCCTGTAAGTTTTCAATGTTTGTCAAACAACTGTTGCTAAATCATGTTAATTTTTATTGATAAGGAATTAATTTTGGAGGAAGATTCTGAACCCTTACATCAACTCACAAGAGAAAATGCTACAAAAATTGACGTCTATTCATATGCAATCATTATGTATGAATTATTCTTTGAAGAGACACCATATTGGAATGAGAGCTCTGAGAAAATTAATTTTTTCAATCATGTGAACAATGAGCAAAAGAAAGTGAAAGCACTTAACCTTCTTTATTATGTTGCCAATCATAATAGACGACCTGTCATACCATTCCTCAACCATGATGAGATGAAAATTTGGTGTGAAAAATTCATGACCAATGATGATGCTACGAATATCGACCTTTTAATTGCAGTGGAGAGTTATATGAAATTAATGAAATCATGCTGGGCCTCAAATCCCAGCGAGAGACCTTCCTTTGAACGAATTATTCAAAAGTTAACTGATATTTACAATATGGATTTCTAGAAGAATGATCTCAAAGCAATCTTTCATGGTCATGTTTGACTGCCGCTGAGTGAGTTGCTCAGAATTGAGATTTATGATGGCTGAAATGTTTCATATCTCCCAAGTTAAAAGTGTCCATGACAGCTCGCTCAGTAGAGATACTCAATTTTTAATGTTGTCCCAAATGGTCATGAAAAAAGCTGAAACTGAAACCTATATTAGGTACAACATCTTTGTCACAATTTTCCAATTATTATTTGTTTTAAAATATCACTGCGCCATCCGCACCATTCTCAACACATATATCACTACCTCTTTCAAATGACACCACTCTTGCATGTCATCCTTTCCTTCTCGCTCAAGGTTTTGAATCGGAGAAGGGACTTTGTGATGATGCCCCCTCTTCCTATGTCATTTCATCCCTACAGCTGTTCGCATGTTATACTAAGTATGACCTCTCTCATTGGACTGATGTACAAAGTGAGATCAATACAACAAGCAGAAACGAAACATTTCAGTTCAACTATTCATGTTGACACTGGACAAACATCTTCACCCAATACACAAAACTCTCCTTCTACAACAAGAGATGGACATATTTCGACCCAATCAACATTCAATACGAATAGCAGTGGAGTCAATTACCTTACCATTGCAAGAAATCCTTCTCTAATGACCATCTCCACTGTCATGTCCTTTCTCTTTGCGTTGATCATGCATCTAAGAATATTAATTGGTCGGAAACAATTTCCATGTTTTTTGTACAAGTTGGTCTATCACTTGGCAGTCCCATCGATGTCGACGACGATTATTTTGAGGACCATGCGAGTGGCAATGTTGGGACTTTTGAATCGATTGAAGGTAAAAATTGGTCAACGTGAAATGGAAAATTACTTCAATGGTATGGATAGGAACACTTGTCAGATCCTCCTCAAGTCATGAATGGAATTGTCATTGACATTCATTCTGTATCACATCCAAACGATCACACTTCACCAAATTCGTCTCCTTCCTCCTCGTATCCTCTCTCTCACCTTAATTCAAGCACAACATTCACTGCTGTGGAAAGAAAATCCCAGAATGAAGAATTCTTTTTTCGAACTGTGAATAACATGAGTACTGTTCAAATTGCCAACAAAATTTGTCCTTCTCTTCTATTTGGTAATAATTTTCATGCATCTTTCTCTTTATCTTACTATTGGAAGCATTGATTATTATTATTGGACGTCAATAATGCATGCAAATGAAACAGAACTCACCGCCACTCACTCGTCGATGTGGGTACTAGACGGCTTTATATTTTCGACCACCGGATGTGGAAGTGGATCCTTTAATTCTTACTTATTCATTGTGGAAATTGTTATTTATTTGGTTTTGATTTTGACTGTGTCAATTTTTGTCTTGTTTGTAAAGAGAGATGTATGGAAAGTGAAGACTGAAGTGTTTGCTATCTTCTTTAATTGGGCTATTTTAGGATTAGCTTATTGTGTATCTTTGTTTAGTGACGTTTCTAATTTGTAAGTTTTGAGTTTGACTACTTATATATTGGACACATATATTCTGTAAAATTGCAATTGAAATGATGATTATATTGCATGTAATTCAATCCTCTCGTCAATACTCACATGACATGCACTTAGAGTTGACTATTACGTACCATGGTCCTCCATCATGTTCATGGCAGCAATGATTGATACATTCATTTCTGTGACAATTCCTGTATTTTTCTTTCAGCGTGCACACAAATCATCATCTCACAGCGAAAACGCCAAGAATGCTAATAGTGCCAATGATAACATGCAATCAAGTGCTACCAATGACATTACCATGTGCTTGAAGCATCCAGAAATTTATCCTCTCTTTCTCTCATTTGGAGAACGTTCCTATGCTCCTGAAGACATTTTGTGTTACAATTTGGTTGAGCAGTTCAAAAATTCATCACAGAGAAATCGCAAGAAAATTGTTTGTACCCTCTGTGACACCTATCTCAAGCATGCTGCACCTTTACAATTGAATTTATCAAACCAAGATGTGGAAAAACTTGCTCCTATCTTTGAAATGCAACAGAAAATTTTAGAAGAGAACAAGCAACGATTCTCAATGAGCACTCTCTCGAGAGGAATTGAGATTCCTTCCAATTTCTTGGACAATTTGCAACAAATGTCTGAGAGAAATCTCGTGGACTTGTATGAGCGATTTTACGAGGCACATCGAAAGTTATTGAAGGACAAGTTGGGCATTGTAGGGAAGACAAACAGGAGAGAAGAGTGTCTCCTTCGATCTAATGAGAGAGCGTGAGTGAATTGGACCGTTGTTATTCCATGATCATCATTGACCCAATATTCCGTGCATTCTCATGAGAGAGACATCATTCACGATGTAATTCCTCTATACTCTTAAGCATTAATATTGTTTTGCAATGTAAGGAATTAGGAGTGTATATTTGTTTGTTCACCTAACTCCACCCTAATATAAGAAGGATTGAATCATTGAAGTGGAGAAAATGTTCAAATTCGATGCTTCCGAATTCCCAATAGGAACAGCTGAAACAGATTTCGTTCGTTGTCAGTCGACTTTCTGTGAATTCAATCAAGATTGCTGCAACTCCTACTGCAAACTCCTTTTCAGCAATTTCTTCTCTCTCATTCAACTTCATGTGAGATTAGAGATCTACAATTTTGATAAGATTTTGTGCTGAATTAGCTGGCTCTGTAAATGATTTAGATTGTATCCACCAACGCCCGTCAAACGTCGCACAACACTTGATCATAAAATCTTTTGGTGGGTTGCGAATTGGAATCACAAGCCGTTCGTTCATTCTTTCTATTCTATGAATAAAAATCAATTGATTTTTGCACAACCGCGGAGTGCACTTTTTTCAACGACCATTGTAATTCACAATTCATCATCACCCTCAACAACACACACAGCAAAAAAAACCAAAAGCAAAATTTGCTGCTTTGAGAGAGCGTTCATTGTCGTGCCCGTTCCGTGTGCCTTCTTCTTCTTGTTATCATTTGTTTACAACCCGTTTGCAGTGTTGTTGTTGTTGTTGATTGATTCAGTGTTATCACGAGATTGGAACATGTTGGACTTTCAAAACTATAGAAATCAAACTGGTTTCATTGGTACCACCTATGTACCAACCAAGGTGAATAATAACTTGCTTGGCTCCGTAGGGACCACGGGTAATCATCATCATCATCATCACCAGCATCATTATGGACTCTCCTCCTCTCCAAAGGTGATACGTCCCGTGATGTGTCCCTGCAAGTCATCATCGGAGGTGGAAGTTGGAAAGCTGTTGGATATGGCTCTTCTGAAACGACAAAACCTCATGATGAGCAAGCAAACCACAACATCAACCACTTCCGCAACTAAATTCTAATGGCACTCATATTCGTACGTAACGAATTCTAACGATAGTGATCAGGATGATGGTGCACTTGCTTTCTGTCCTCTCTGCAATTCGAGTGTTGAACTCAAACATTTGAAAAGTCAGGATGCCTTGAATGCAGTCTTCGAATCAGCACTACTAACCTCCAAGACAGAGCGACCTGGACTGTCATCCTCCTCATCCACTTAGAAACTGAACGATATTGGTTGTTTCATATGTATAGGGAAGTGAATTCAGGAGGATGTTCAACTCAGAGATATGGAGAACTTGAATCCTGAATTCACACCACCAAACCAAAACACATGTGGACATCCAACAACACATTGCTCTTGTACTCTCAAACTTCAATTTTGCATACGGCTTTTTCAACTCATGAATCATCACGTGATTTGCGTGATTTTTAAGTTGTCAATACATAAAACAATAAAACTCCTAAACAATAGTAAATTCTCTCTGTAATCATCATCCACAACACTTCATCACGAAGACGTTTTCGTTGATATTATTAATAAGAATTAAGAGAGCACAAAGAACAAATCCGATCATTCAGAAAAATCTTGTCTCGCGAGAGGAATACGTATAAGGACCCAAAAAAAATGTCATCGTCGAATAACTCACTAAATTGTTTTCAAAGTGTTCCGGAGGGATTTCACAGTGCAGTCGATGATTTAAATCGAGTTCATCCTGATATCATCAATGAAATGGCTCACAAGACTGTCATGTTTATTCTCGGAAAAGGATTGGGATGTTATGTTGATGATTATCTGAGCTGGATTTCGGATGTGAATAATCAAGCCATGTCCAGCAAACAAATTGAAAATGTGATCAATCTTTTGTTGTATATATTCCGTACTGCTCGACAATTCAGAGTAGCTCTTGCAGATTTTCCAAAATTATTGAGATCCAACACTCAAATTCAAGTGAACAAAATCAAAGTCCTGTGTCCCGAATATGAAATTTTATTGGAACAAACAAAATTCAGAGAAGACCATCATGATACATCATCGGAGCAATCTGAATCAACTCAACACGATAAAAAGTTTTTAGATGATTTTGAATTGCCTAGATTGAAACATTTGGATTGGAAATTAAGTATTGCAACAGCATCGAGTTCATGTGAGAATTTACAGAGTGCCAAAGTGACCCTAACCATGCTCATGACAAATAGTCAGAGAAAAACGATTGATCTGACTTTGAGTGAATTTAAGAGAATGTATTCAGAATTTTCAGATATGGCTGGCCTTATTGATTCTTTGTAATTCAGTATTTAAGGTGAGCATGCCAATAAATCGACTCCATTTTCATCTGAAATATCAAAAAAAAACATTCCTCAGATTATATTTACGTTTTCAGAAATAAACATTGCTTATCAGTTTGACTAATATGTTTTTTATTTTCTGGCCATATTTATCAAAATTAACAAATCAATAAGAGTAAGGTTTGACAGGAATAACCTTCTCACATAGCAACAAAGTTTCTTGAATTTCTCTCAACTTGCCAATTTCACGGTCTAAATTTTGCAAAGACTGTTCATCCAAAGTACTCATGTCGCTTAATTTACACAAATTTTCGATAGAACTAAGGTGCTTAGATTCAAGTTGTTTGAGAGCTAATTGTTCTTGTTGAATATCATGAGACTTGGTTCTTAACATGGATTTCGTGTACAATGTTGCAATATCTGTCAATGATCGGTAATAAATGTCATCATCTTCAGTTTGCAACCATTTAGGTGATGCCTTTTTTTCACTTCCAATGTTCAAAATCACTGGGTGGTTCTTCAAGAGAGAGATTAGTTCACCATTGTTGTTCCACTTGTTGTACAATTCTTGCTGGAATGCAAGTGATGGATAATTAGAGCAGGTTTTGGCAAGTTCTTCTTTGTGTTGTTCTGGTTCTTGTTGATGGTAGGATTGTGGTTGTTCGTTAGGTTGTGAAGGATTTTTGTGTAAAGTTTCCGAATTTTCTAAAGTCAAGTTAATGATCATACTCGCATCCACAGGTTTCAGACATTTCAACATCAATGCAAGAGCTTGATCGAGGGCCATTTTTGAGGAACTTATTTTCTGCTCCGTGGTTGATATTTTGTCATTGTCGCTTTGTGGTTCATATTCTGACATTAAATGGTACAGTCGTAGAGTCACAAATGATGCAGTAATTCCAAGATAGGGAATTTTCTCTTCCTCATTTTGGGGAGTGCTGTTCCCTAAATTAGACTTGGAATTTTGAAGTATTAGCTCAGACTCAGGCTTAGTCTTTCCATTTTTCTGCAAGTGCTCCTTGTAAATGCGTTCTGCCTCTTTCAAAATCTCTTCATCAATTAATAAATCTCCCTTTGATGAATTGAGATCTTTTTGAGGCGTGCTATTATTGCTACTTGGGGCAAGTATAGGTTTAGTGATCTTTTCAATTGCTGTGTGATCAATCAAGTAACATTTAGTGTCCAAAACGAGGCAAAGAATAAACACATGATCATGCAATTCATAATTTTTTGTTGTTTGATTCAAATGTACAATTCCACACTGTTCCAATAATTGTATACGTCCCTTATTTGTTTCATTATAGGACACAATAGTAACATTACTTTTTCTCTTCTTTTTTGCCGGTTCTCCTTTGGATGAGCTTGATTGAGAGCTAGCTCCGCCATTATTACTACTATTCATATGGTTATTTGCATTATTCATTGTCGTGGTGGTGTTGGGGTTGGCAGTAATGATTGTAGATTTAGAAACCTTTGAGTAAATGAGCGCATTTGGATCCTCATTTCCTTCCAAATCTGATTCCACAAACAATGATGATGAAAAGAATTTTCTTTCCAAAGCCTTACTCAAATACAATCCATTCAATTTAATCAAAATTAATTTCGCTTTCATTTGTGCCGGATCAGTTTGGACTGAATCAAAGAAAAAGTGTTGTTCATCCCGATCATCCATCACGCAACAACAGCCTTCAAATATAATGAAAGCGTCCTCCATCACATGAGAATACTGTTGTTGTAAAAAATTAGAAAATTCTGTACAATAAACATGGTTGTTATTGGACTTGTATGGATGAGAGAGAAGAAATTCCTCATAGTGTTGATTGAGTTGAGAGAATGGACACATGAACGGAAGAGCACCAAAGAATTCATGTCGATTCATTTTTTTTTATTTCCAACCACTATTCGAACCATATTTCATTACAACATTGCCACAGAACGAACAGCAACAGGTGTTTTTGGTATATTAAGATGAATTAATCATCATGGACATAAGCTATTTTCTGTTTCGTTTGCTATTCGATTCAGGTATTTCTGACGTGTCCTCACTCGGTGCTTTGGTTGATCCTTCCTTGGAGGAGCTCATGAATTTAAAAACAGATTTTCTCTTGTTTGAATAACTATTTCCAACCACATATTCAGGACCTCTGGCTCCTAAATAAAAATTAGTGGCCCACGCACCCACGAGTGGAATCTTTTCACGAGATTTTTTGTGACACCAATTTCCTAATGGAATAATGGGTCTAATGATGAAACCTAGTTTGTAGGCCACCTTAGACATGTCATAGTACCAGGTGGCTGTTTTCACTTCATCTCCTTCGCTAATAATTTTCCAAGCATACTCAAACGTTCGTGTGGGATGATTTTTCTGGTCACCAATCATGGAGAGGGTTCTAAGAAGTAATTTCCAAAATACGGGAGGATAGTCACTTTTATCACCACCATTTTCGCTCATTAATTTTGCTTTCTTTTCAGCAATTTCTACAAATTTCTCAATAATCTTTCCAGCCAGAATTCTTCTCATATCATCTGTGACAATAGACACTCTTTCAAACATGGTAATTCGGCACGTTTGAATGCTATCTGCAAGTTGTTTCAATCCCCAATTAAAAAGAAGAGCTTTGTGTTTTTCTTTGGCGTAGTCGGACCTTACGCATGTGAAGTGGAAGTAAACATGTTGATTCTCTTTTGTTCCAGAATTCTTAGTTAAAATACCACTTTCATAGAGTAGCTTGTTAAAGGTTGAGTTTTTTTTAAATTCCTCTCGAATTCTATTGATATGATCTTCTTGTTTGTGGTGTAACTCATCATACGCTTTCATGTATGCCCTTTGAACAATTTTTGGAATATTCTCTTTCACTTCCTTCATGTCCTTCAGGTATTCTTCGTAGCGAGTAATCTCTTCATTGAGTCGAGAGAGCGTGGACTGATGCTCAATTTTCTGGAGATCAAGTTGATATCTTCTATTCTCAATCAGGTTACGCTCATGGCTGTATCTATTCTTAATTTGCAATTTTTGTGAATAGATCTCTAACTTTTCGTTCACTTGTGGTGGAAGTTGTTGTGGGAGAGAGGGGAGCTCTGTACTGGATGATTCTTGTTTTGGACCTCTTTTAAATACGCCATAAATCATTCCAAAAAGAGAAGAAAATGAAGATGTTGCCTTCGTGGGTGTGGAATTGGAGTTGCTGTTGTTTGGTGTCGCTTCAGTACTGCTAGTAGAAGTTTTCTCTTGCCCAGTGACGCTGACATTAAAATTTGGATTTTCATGGTGTGAGAAATTTGGATACAAAGGAGCAGAGGCTGCTTCACTATTATTCTGAGACAAGACATTTGGATTTTCACCATGCTCTTCTGTTTTAAGCTGTTGAATTTCTCTTTCGGTGGCATCGATGAGTTGTGAGAGTTGTCTGGACTCTGCATCCAAAATTAAATCATTCTCCTCAATAGATTTCAATGCTTGTGTCACTTGTTGCTTATTTTCCTCTGCAAGCTTCTTTGCTTCTTCGACTTCTGCGAGATGTTGGCGATGTTGGACGAGTTTGTAATCATCCACATAGTTTTCAACATGCTCACAAAATTGCTGATAGGTCTCATCATACTCATCTATAAAGTGCACAACAATGTGGATGGGAAGAATGCCTTTTGCATTTGGTGTTGTTTTTTTCATCTGGTCGATCAATTTCGTACGCAAATATGCAGCTTCCCTCAACACATACAATTCCCTGTCGTAGCAATGTGGAATTTCTTTCACATTATGAACTTTCAATACTACGACAATCATGTTCGGTTTGCATTGATGCAAAATATCTTGTCTTGTTTGTTGAAGTGCTTCATCACTTTCATTCAACTCCTTCTCAAATATTCCTCTCAGATCAATAAGATTCAAGCCAGCGTGACAAACAGTTGAACCTTCAATTGAAAAGTTATTCTTCTGTTGAGTGTCAGCTCCATATTTTCTTCCATATTTTTGAGAGGCAACAGATGGAGAGCTGCTTGTATTCGTATCAGAAGAGGAGGCGCTGGAAGCGGAGTTAGGAGTAGGATTTTGAGTTCTTGGGTTAAGCATGGCGGTCAAACATTGGATGATCGTGGTTTTTCCCGATTGTGGATTTCCCAAAAAGACAGCACTTCTCTTATTTCCTAATTCATTTACGAAATTCAAATCATTGTTGAATTGCTCGAAATCTTGTTTTGTGAAAATCTCTGTGGTATCACCTGTGCATTTGGAAAGGCTTTGATTGAGTTCGACTCGATCTGATTCGGGTAAATAAAAATTTACAATACTTGAAAGAGAAGACATGGGAGATTGTTTGTGTGTTGATTTTTTTCTTTTGATCAGAAATCCAAATTCGAACTCTCATGTTTTAAACACGTGTGCACACGCACAGACGTCCACTCTAAAAATTTCCCTCAGACGTCCGTGTCAAGTGCCAGCCTTGATCAACAACAACAAGACGTTCATAGAACCAAATCAGCAATCCAAACAAAACCATCATGTCACCTCCCAACATTCCACCATTGTGGAAAGAGTCAGTTCTTTCTCCAGTCTATGAACAAATTCGTCAACGCCTGAAGCCCTTCTTTCCGTACGTTGAAGGCAGCGGTCATACATGTCCTTGTTGTTCCCGATGTTCTACCATCAAAAGAGACAAACAGAAAAAGGTGATCGATCATTTTCTAACAGTTCATATGAGTGTGAATGGTAATTGTAAGAAGTTTTCTTCCATCCTGTTTGATCTCATCCAATGTTGCGACGAGAAAGATCCCAAGAAAATGGCTGAGAAATTTTCAGATATTTGCTCGCTCATAATCAGCGAAAGAGACAATGCCACTACATCAATCATTCAAAAGCAGACGGATTCAATATTGTTGAATACTTTCCAGCTCGAGTCGTCAGATAATAATCATCACGAGCAAGCCGTAGCTGGAATACTCGAATTAAATGCAACAACACAAAATCATCATCACCATTCAACTCCATCATCATCACCACTCCAAATCAATAATGCCAATTCAGAACAATTATTGAATCACATCTTGCAACAGGAGCATCTCGCTTCCATTCAAGAATGATTTTTCAATGAATTAACAAAAACCAATTCCCGATTGGAAATGGTTGAGAAGGTTCTTTTTTCTTTTCATTTTCAACTTCAAGAAATGCAGCAACAATCCAATTTGTTGAATCATTCTTTCCATGATGATGATGTTATTGCTGAGCACCTTCAACAGCAGCAAGACTCTGAGCCATCCAGAATGGATGCAAATTCCGATTTTTTTCTTTAAACACCTTAATTTCACTTTTTCATTTTTTTAATATTATTATGGAATATTTCATTAAATGATTCTCTGTTAAGGTCACCTATCATATTGATCATAAGATGTTGAAAGCTTGTACCAATGGATTGTCTTTGACGTTTATTTTTGTTCAACTTCTTTTTCTTCGGCACTCAAGTTTGATTTTTCCTTAATATCTCCTTAGCGCAAAATGTTCATAAAGCATGCTTAAATCAAATTCTTCAATATCTTCATGATGGTTGGCTTTGAAATGATTGCCGCCAAAATATTAGAGGGTGAGATACGGTGTTGATGTTTGACTGGTCATGATTTTAAAAAGATCACTCGAGATGATGATGATCATTCATTACTCACTGAATAGGATGCATCTCTTGATTTGTTTGCTGATAGGAGATGAAGAAAAACCATTCATCCTTCAACAGATCCTTTTTTCGGAGAATGATTCTTTGAAAAAGGAAACTACCTCTTTTTATTATAAATGAGATAGATAATCGTAATGAAATTTGAGTGGTGCTTGTTGTTTCTTCCTTTTGAATCACGCAATCATTCATAATCGATTGTTTCATGTACTTTTAAATGACAATCTGCCCACACAATTTCACAACCTTCGGCCCTTCTCTCCCAAAATGAGATTGCCACCCTTTGTTAATTGCCTTTTTTGTCAATCAATCAAAGGAACTTATCATCATTGCCATCCATTCAATGCCCCTTATATTTTTCCATTCTTGCTGTATTGACTTGCTCTTTCTCCTTTTCTGTGTGAATCGCAAAATGTCAAATGTTGAAACAGAATTTCAATTCAACAACATTGTTAAAACAAAAAAATTACAAAATGAAATTCAGTTATGTGACCTTTGTGCCAAACAAACAACAACAACAACAAAAGAAGGGAAAACGACCAAAACCTCTCACCATGGTCTCTTACTTTACAGACACTGAAAGATTCTCCACTTCAAATCCATTCAATGGTTCTTTGGATTTATCTCTCCATTTCAATGTTGAAACGAAATTACATTCTTCTCGAAGACATGTTCCTCCTCCCGTTCAGATTGTCATTCCATCTCTTCCACAGTCACCTTTATCTCCACAACCAACTCAACAACCTTCCAAACCAACAATCAAACCAAGTCATTCATCTGAACATTCTCAACCAATTCCTCCTCGTCCAATTCCAGTCCGTTCAACAGCAGCATCAAAATCACAATTCGTCAATAAGGTTCCATGTGAAGGTTTGACATCCAAAACAATTTCATATCAACCTCCTCATCGAAAACCACGTTTTGCTCATCCAAAGGATTTGTATGTAAAAGAAACCATGCAAATCAGTCAACTGCCAAGCATGTCTCAACGCTTGACTCCATCCACATTTACAACCACAACCACAACATCAACCATTCCATCTCCTCAAAAGTATGATCGATCACTCATGATTGCACCCGTCAGTGCTGTCAAAGTTGATCATTGTCCAACAGAAATGCCACCTTCTGGCATCCAAAAGATGACTGTCGTTTCAAAAACTAATAAGGGACAACGACAAGTTGATGAAGAAACTCTTCAAAATTTCACTCTTCAAACTCGTCATGAACAAACACTTTCCAACATGATGTCATGTAATTGTTCTTCATCGAGTGATGAAACGCCTGTTGCGATTCCTGTTCCAAGAAAAGTGAGAACTTCCATCTCCTTGTTCGAGTTGTTGAATCCTGAAGACAATGAAAGTCTTTAATTTCGAAATCTTGTTGACACTTGTTTTTTTCGCATCAAAATAAAAAGGATGTTCTTGTATTTATCACTAATGAATGAAGGCAAGGTTATTGGGCGAGCAAGACTCTTTCTCAATGAAAGCTTAGGAATTGTTATTATTAAATTAAAAGAAAATTCAAAATTAAGAGATTATCGTTATAATAGGTGCCGTTGTCGTCCAATCGTCGAATGACTTTTTCAAACAAATTTTCAAACACTTGCAAGTCTAGCAAAATCATTGAACTCAGAATTTCAACGTTTGCAAAAGCTTGTCAATTTTCTCCACTTTTTGTCAAGACCTCCACAAACAATCATCAAATGTTCGCTCCAATTTCCAAACTCATGTGTATCCTCATGTTTTGGCACAAAACAACTATTCGGATATTGTGTCACATCCATACATAAAATTCGTTCTCCAATCGAAAACTGAGTGGCAGGCTTAAATGAAACAGTGTCCCAAAATCGAATCATTCCATCAAATCCACTCGATATTATAAACCTTCCACAAGAAGGTTCATACATTATTGTGTTCATTAACTTGTAACTGGCAGGTATGGAATAATATGGCTCTTGTCTAAAGTGATCCGAGTTTGGATCTGTTTGTTTCGCTCCTGAATTTAAACTGTGCTTGGCATATCTCAAATCCCATACATCAATCAGTCCATCTAAACCACCAGTCACTAAATTCACTCCATTGTATGGGTTAAATGAACAATTAAGTACATCCTTAACATGATGAAGTAAATTGCAAACCAATAAACCTGTTCTCAAATCCCACAACTTTACAACTCCATTAAAGTCTGTCGTACACAAAATTCCTCCATCCGGATGATGATCTACTGCATAAACTGGACAGTAATGACCTTCTTGAATATAGAGTGGTTGATAAGTTGACAAGTCCCACATGCACCAAGTATGATCAGAACTTGTGCTAATAAATTGTTGTCCATTTGGGTGGATGGAGAGTCTATTAATGACGGCAGTGTGAATATCTCCAGCTTTGAGTATTTCTCTTTTTAGAGCAGGCTCTTCAGATGCAGTGGCATTATGATCAGACATATCATTTGATGAAGAATCTGATTCTACAACGTTGAACAGTTGGGTTGGTTTTTCTGATTCATCTTCCATATTCCATAGCTTAATAATTCGATCAGCAGATGTGCTTAGAACAAATTCGTTTCTCACCTGCAGACACGTAATTCTCTCGTCATGAGCATTTGCATAGGTTCTAATGAGAGAACAGCTGTACGATTCATCCTCATCTTGCAAGGGCATTTCTGATTCTTTTTCATCGGTCTCATCAGTCATTGGCTCCTCTTCCTTAAAACACGGATTCGCTACTTGCCACATTTTCATTGTACCAGACCAAGATCCAGTAATGCATTTCCCAAAATCGTGGCCTAGAATTTTAATTTGTGAAATTGGTCGAGAATCTCCAATCACAGAGGATACCATCGATAATCGCTTTTGTACATTCTCCATGAGTCTGTTTTTTCGATCGACCAATTGGGCTGCAATTCCAGGTTTCGAAGTATGCTGTCCCATTTTATCTTTTTTCACAACATCCACAAATTCCCGAATGGTCTCCAATCGTTGTTGTGCCGATTGTAGTGAATACATGGCAATACTTTCTCGTACACTTGCAAGATTTGTATTTGAAGCTTCAAATGTAAAATATTGTTGAGTAATATCTTCTTTTTCTTCCATCTCATCCACCATTTCCTCTTGCTCTTCTTGTTGATTTTTAGCCAAGGTTGAAATTAAATCCTGTCGTCCTTTAGCCATTAATTCTCTTTGTAAATCTGCCATTAATTCTGATCCATGGTCAGTATAATCTTCATATAAATTTCTTTGCTCCTCCTTCTGTTGTTGTTGCTGTTCCTCCTCTCTAAGCCTCTGAATGACCACAAGCCGTTTCAATCGTTCTCTTCTTTCGGGAGGCCCTTCCCCGAACAGAGTCATTGGCTCTCCCATCTCTCTCAGCTTGATCCTCACATCCCGATCCAACGTAGGTATTTTAAATTCTGTATTAAAATTCGGAGAGAGCAAGATGAGTTGAACGCGTTGCTCATCCGGCAGAAATTGGTGCTGTGAGGGAGCGAGCATTTTTTTTATACTTTTTTGAAGGTGTTGTTGGAGGTGTTTCTTCTTTTTTTTTTATCACTGTCCATGCGTTTATTTGTTCGAAAATTCAAACGTTATTCATGGCTGTGTGTGCAATTAGTACAGTTAAAGGTGGTT